AGCACGGAGGGACAGCTAGGAAACATCTAGCTGTTGTGCTGAGTTAACTTACTGCATTACCCTGTGGCTGCTTGTGATGCTGAAATGCCCCTGAAGAAATCCAGTGACAGTCTGCATTGTTATCCAGCTGGCAGAGAAAATATTTCAGTCTGTAGGCAGTGCAGGTCAGGGTCCATGAGATTAGTGGTCTCCTTTGACATCTATGGATGGACACTGTATTAGACTTGGCATCTAGGTAATGTTTATCCTTATTAGTCTGTATGTTTGTTACGTTTCTTTTTGTGGTTTCTTTTCCTGGTTCTGTCTCTATCTGGATTTTTGCCTGACTCTGTGAATGGGCCTGTGACAATATGTTTACTGATGGCTGTACTGTCGTATTGTCTTCAGCTGTGCTTATTTACTAAACTTCCAAAGGTAGGGTAAAATCAGAATTTAGCTGAGAAGTTCAGATTTAGTAATGAGGCCACTTTGTGGGATGCTGTTCTTCCTTGGCAAGGGGACCTGGTTTACAGGCTAAAATCTCTGACTCTGAAAGCGGTAAATGTCAGTCATTTACCCAGTCATGGTAAATGCTGCTCTTCATCAGTCCTGCTCTCTCGAGTGTAGTGTTGATCCTTCTCCATATTACTGATAAGAGGCTCTTGGGGAGCATCAGGGGTAATTCAATAGGGAGGCGAGTGCAATGCATGAAGCTAGAGCTAATGAAAGCCCCCCCCACCCCCCCACCCCCACCCCCGTGAACTGCCTGGGCTGTCTCTGAAGTCCTGTGGGCCAGGGTCTCTATTCTGTGGCTTTGAATTCCTGCTGCTGTTGCCATGGATTCTCTGCTCCTTTGACAGTGTGATGTTTCTCTGTAGCCATCAGCATCTGGCATGGCTAATATTTAGGTTGGAGGCTTAATCAGTTATAGGGGAGAGAACAAAGACAAGCAATACAAAGCTTAAAGGCCAGCAAAACCACCCACTGAAACTCAACAAAAGGCAAAAGGAATACAAACGTTTCTTTCCTGCTTGGCTGATCTCCCCACCTAGACCCTTTGGGCATATTCTCCTGTTTCAGCATAGCCCTGAGTGTTTATTCATAATCAGGAGGCCACTGTTATGGTAGACTTGGCAGATAAATAGGGGAAACAGAGATTGGGTGGGCTGGAGCTGGGAACGGGGGCTGGTATCCTCTTGTGTCAAATTCTAAACTGTTTGGAAACAAATAGACGCCTCCCCTCCCCAAATTGAGCACTGATTTGCCCATGACCCCGAGGCTCCAGTGGCGTAAGTCTGTGCACACAAGAAGGGAGGCCGCTGGTCCCACGTGTTTGTGTTTCACTAATCGACCCTCGCTTTGTCTGAGCCTCTGCACCAAGCCGACTGCCTGCAAAAGCAAAGTTTGTTTTGCCAGGGAGCAGACAGTTTGCAGTGGACAAACATGGCATAGCCACATGGAAGGGGCATCGCAGGGAGTGATGAAAGTAAAGTTCATGTGTGTTTGGATCTGGATTTGGATGTCTCTTTCCTGCATCTCTACTTCACAGAGATTGCTAATGCTGTGTTGAAATTAGGCTGTAGAAGCAAACTGAGGTGATGGTGTCTGGTAGCTGCATGAACTGAAATGCATCCGATGTCAAAAAGGTGCCTCTAAACTTGTCATTGTAGCTGCTCCTCAAATCACCCTCTTTCTTCAGATATTCATTAGCCCTGCTGACCTGCTGCAATAAGGTCAGAGCAGAGCTGACCTCTCTGGAAAAGTAAGGTGGGATGGAGTCTGCATTACATCTCATCTGCAGAGCTGTTCCAGCTGCAGAGTTTTATCTGAGGCAGTTCACGTGGCTCCACTCAAATATATTTCAGTCACTACTTGGTATCATATGATCTCTGGAAAAGAAATGGGAATAAATGTGCAATCCCCGTCATGTCACCTTTGTCCAAGTCCGGGTGAATCAGTGCAAGCTCCTTGGGACTGGTGCAGTTCCCAGTGCACAGGAGGAGCTGCTGTGTTGCTGTGCTGTCGGCCCACTGACTTTCGAAGACTTTGCAGTTTCTGAGCACTACAGGGTCCTGAGTGAAGCCTCCAGTGAGTCTTGCTGGAGTAGCCTAAAATACTGCTGTCCTAATCTTCCAGTCCCTCCTTTCTGCTGGAGTTTGCTGCTTTGTAACAGGAGTACCATAAAGCAATGTGTACCCACGTTTTGGCACTCTCAAGTTCAGGGCATGGCATAGGACCTTAGGGAAGTGCCTTTGCTTTCGTACACCAGGTTGGGGGTAGGGCAGGTTTTCCATTGTGCCATCGCTGCTGCAGGGACAGTTTCTCCTCGCAGAGGCGTGGGGCAGGCAGTGATGAGGTGGTGATGTCTGCAAGCAGCACAGCCAGAGCTATCCAACGAAGTCAGGAGCCACTTGTGAAAATGAGATGCAGGCGCCTGGAGCACTTTTCAAACTTGTATTCTTCATAAACTGGACACAGTTACAAGTGGTTGAGATCTCAAGCCGCCCGTCCAACTTCCCTCTGCCTCCAGAGTGCAGACCAGATGATATAATGCTGAAACATCAGCCACTCATGCATGCAGTGGCTGTGCCACGCCAAAGTGACAAGACAGGGAGGCAGAACAGAGTCACCCAACAAGGAGTGCTTGAGTTGAGGACTCGGGTGAGGGAGAATAAAACTCCAAATCATTTTTCCTTGTGATATCTGTGCTTTTTTAAGCTCCTGAATGCTTTGTTGCTACATCTTACCATGATGTGTTTATCTATGTTGATTACAAGTGATAGGAGCTGAGTCTCACCCTGAGAGCAAGCTCTGTTGCTGCCTATTCTTCCTTGAGAAGATCGGATTGAGAACGGGTGAGGATTCCTGTCCAGACAGGACTGAACAGCCCATCGCCAAGTCGACAGCAGTGAAATCTGAGTCATGCCGATTGCTCGCCTTGGAGACAGCAGCGGCACTGAAGGGGAGGGAGGGCTGCGTGAGAAACGCTAAAGACAACGAAACTTGCAAAGCACCTGGTGAAGTTTCATGCACGGGGTGAAACTGGTGTTGGTGCATCATCCCGACGTGCGAGGGAGAAGAGGAGCAAACTCAGCGTCTCCGTTAGAGCAGCGCGTGCTGGGAGCTTGCGGTGGCCGGAACCGTAAGGTGGAAGCGGCTGCTCTCTGCACCAACCTGAGCTCGGGCGCCTGCCACCACGTGAGCATGGAAACCAGTGGGAATTGGGTGCCTCGGGCCATTAGCAGAGCTGTTACCAGCTTCTCGCCTGTGCAGCTCAGATGCAGGGGGACTCTGTGTGGAAGCAACTTATTCTTTAATAAAAAGGCGACAGGGACAGCAGAGGCAGCCCTGGATGGCCTCATCTGTGCTGCCCTGGGAGAGACTGTGTACCGCTGCAGGGCTGCCGCTCCGCTCAGCCAGGGAGAGCTCTTGAGTCTGAGGAGCATCACTAAAACTATCCCTCCATGGGTATTCCCTGCTGGGGACGTGGCAGGGTGAGAGATCGGTGCATGTGCAGGAGCGAAGCCATCTCAGTTGGGCTGCCAGGGAGGATGGCCCGGCATCCTTCACCAGGGTGCACCTCCACACCCTTCCAGCTTGCAGCCCAGGAGCATCCGCTGAGCACCTGGCTTTTCACCCTGTCAGCGTGGGCAGCTCGCACCAAACGGGCTGGCAGTATCTGTCGTGGTTAGCAATAATTGGGAGTTTCAGACATGCCAGATTCCTTTCAAGAGGAATTATTGTTCTCTGAATGATTCACTTAAAAGTCTAGCCCAGAACTTACTACAAGCACATGGAGAGTAGCTTAATGGAAACAACATATTCCTTATAAAAATGCCATTGAAATGTAGCATTTGTTACCTAAACTCCTGTAGATTTTCTTTGCCTTTCCATAAAAAAATCAGCCACTGAAAAATTCTGCTCTTGGCAACTTAGGAGATTTAAAGAAATCTTTTTTTAAACTTCTGCTAATAAAAACTGGTCTGCCTTTCCTGGACATTTCCATTTTGATGAAAGAGTAATTTTTGTCCACGAACTTGTTTTTTTATGATGAATACTATGAGGTGTTGTGGTGACACCATATACACGTGGCTGAAGGACGTGACAGGAGCATGGCCACTGATTCATCCTCTCCTCTGAGCCGGGTGAACCTGCAGCACGGAGCACCCAGGGAATGCACGGAGGCGATTCTGTGCTGGCTGCTAGTAGGATTTGCTGGAGGAAAAGGAAAGATGACCAATGTTTGGGTAATTAAGTGTCTGACAGTTTATTAACATAAGATGGAGAGACCTGGAGAAAGTGCCAGAAGAGAGGACAGGCAGGGCATTATTTTGGTATGTTGCTTCTCAGCTCACGTAGTCCCATGAGCCTCACCTTTGTCAGGAATTTTTTAGTGGAAGGAAGGTTATTGTGATCTGCCTGTCTACTTCCCTCTGGGTAAAATCATATACAAATGAGTGCAAAAAACTAAGTTAGAGTCGAACGAAATTTAAAAACCATGAACTACAGCAAAGAAAAATGATGGGGTTTGGTTCAATCTGGGTAGGTCGAGATCTCTGAACACTGAGTGATCATTTATATTTGTGGGTTGCACTGGCCTTTAGCTTCAAATTCAAGGGAAAATTTTGCAAAGTTTCCTGATCATGGTGTATTCAAGTTACTGACCAACATCTCAACTTGATGGTGCATGATCTGGCTGGCTGGTAGTGTGTGCTTGCTGAGGAAAGAGCAGTTGCAGATGATGTCATGGTGTTTTGCATCCCTGGGGCAGGAGGGGGGAAGCAGAGATATATCTGCCTCTCTGAATGACCCCACCAGAGAGACCCTGGCCTACTTTTGTACATAGCTACAGGCAGAAGAATTGGTAATCCCAAAGACTCTGGGAATTAAGGACCAGGAAAGCATCCCTTCTCCATTCCAGCAGTGCCTTTGGGAAGCCTTTCATGCATTCAGCTTGGTGGCATGGAAATTGCTGCGGAAAATTAATATCCTTCATTCCCTGTTTCCTCTGTCTGGCTCAGTTTTAGATCTGTGCGTCTGATGAAGAATGACACCATGAACTTCCAGAAATTCCCCTATACCAATGAAGATGAAGCCTGGAAAACCTACCTGGAGAACCCCTTGACTGCAGCCACCAAAGCTATGATGAGGGTGAATGGAGATGATGACAGCGTGGCTGCCCTGAGCCTCCTCTATGACTACTACATGGTACGTTCCCACTGGGGCTGGGTGTCCTGGGGGGGTTGTCCCAGAGGAGATGTGTGAAGGTAAGATATGTGCTCGGCCACCTGAGGAGAGTACCCATGGACTGACCTCTCTGTGTTGTTTATGCAGTGATCCTCATAACACTCCTGGACATAGAGTGCCAGCGTTATCCCCAGTGCACAGATAGTAAACTGAGGCACAAACCAGCAATATGCTGTGGAGGGAACCCAGAACAGGGTGGAAAACTGAACCTGGGTGTCTTGAGTCCCAGGCTGGTGATTTTTTCACCCAACAGCTTTCATACAAGAAACAGCAATGCTTTGAGAGACACGGAGCTGGAGTAGCTATGTGCCTTGCAAACCCTAGCATCTTTATTTTTCCAGTGCTGCTGTAGGATGGAACTTCAAGAAATGTGGATGTGATTTAGCCCTAACTGAAACCAATAGGACTGATGTTCTCATTCTCTTGGATGCTTTTGAAAGTCTTTCCCAGAACAAGATGATGTGGTTTGCGTAAGGTTACCTTGGGAATCCACGGCAGGAGCCCAGCAAGACAGCCCAAGTCTCCTGTGTCCTCACGCTGTGTTTATTATTCACCCAGTGTTTTATCTAGGAGACTTCACTTGCTACATAGACAAGGCTAATTTTGCCTCTGTTTTCCATTAATAAAATCTAACAATAAACAAACTCTTTGTTCTGCCTTGTTCTAGGTCCCAAAGGAGAAGAGGATTCTTCCATCTGGTATGATGGGACGCAATGAACTGGGAAAGAGGTTAGCTTAATTTTTTGCTCTCTATAGCTGTCTAATTCTCCTGCAGCTGCTTGCATGCATGATGGGTCTCTTAGCTTGCATAAAATAGACATCAAAGCACAGTGTTATTACCAACAACAGTGGAGGTTATTAACCCTGAGACATATATTAAAATTCTTTAGGCCAGATCCCAAGCAGGTATAAATTGAGCTACACCCATTTACACAACTGAGGATCTGTCTAGCTGTGTTCAGAGGAGTTTGTAGCAGCTGAAGAATTTGTCTTTATTTCCTACTTTGTCACAATTGGAAAGGGGAAATGGATTAAGCATTGGCAGCAAGAAGGGAATGACCAAGTCCTCTTCCATTGCCTAGTCTGATAAGGGTCTCTGTTCCATTTGCTTCTAGTCTCCCAGGATTCTCTTCCAGTGACTCCCATTTGTCCTTTGAGGTTTTCAGATAATTAACTGTTAAATTAATGGCTCATTTGCCACTGTGAGTTCAGTTCCCCTTCCTGGATGGTGTGTACTTTGGCAACCTTGTCTGGTTGTCTGTTTTTAACTACTTGACAGAATAAGCCTCTTGAACGATACTTCATTCCTTCTTCATAAGTAAGCTGAGTTAAGCTGTTTTCTCCTCTCTGGAAGGCCGCTGCATTCTGAACAGTGGTATGTCTTTTATTAGCTACGGAAATTTCAGCATATATTTGAAGGTGAAGCTCTTGAATCAGAGTGTGTGAGAGCTACTCCTTCACCTTTATTTCCCTTGGGGGTAGCTTGTGCTGCCAAGAAGTGTGCGGGTTGCTAATATGGGGGTTGGTTTGTTTTCTGAGCATGGTAACAGGGGCAAGAAGCCACCTTTTCCCAGCTCAGCTGGGGCTGCAGTCAGCAGGGTCACAGAGTCACTGCTGAAGAAGGGACCAGTTCTTGGGATGCTGCACAAAGGGATGGTTTCCATGTGTGAGAGGAGTACGTTTTTGTACATGTCTTTATCACTTAATAGCTCCTATACTTAGTCTTTTCTGCTCTGAAGCCTGGGCCATACATCTCACTTCCAATACTGCAGCCCTGTCAATTTTTCACTGATCTTGTGTTCTCTGGGAGTTTTGCTTTCTAAGCTCCTGGAATTTGTCAATTTGTACAAGAATCAGCTTTCCTTAAAAAAAAAAAAAAAAAAAAAAAAAAGACAAAAAAGTGCCAGTTTTAAAAAATCAACTTTCAGTGTCAACAAGCCCTGAAAAGACTAAGACAGAAAGACCATATAGCAGTTATCTTTCTTATTGTTCCTGCTGCTCTGAGTGTTTAATAGCCTAAGTAAAGAAATAATGGATGGAGGCTCTGGATCTGCAGCCCCAAACCACGTCTAAACCATATTCTTTGATTCTGTGTGATCATCCCTTACCTGCTGAGCACCTCTGGCTCTTGCTGATTGCACTGTGAGGTGTGTACGTGGGTGGAGATCCACGGGCCTGTCAGATCTCCCATATCAAGCAGGAGATGTACACAGCTGACTCAAGGTCACCTGGCAGCTGGACTGTGCAGTTTGCTTCCCAGCAGCACATCAAGGCACTTGCTTCTTGCTGTGACAACTTGCTGGGGTTGTCCACGCTCTGCCCTGGTTTGAGACAGGACCCTTTCTCCACCAGGCACTGCCACGGAATGGAGTATGACCCAGAGATCGCATCCTTTGATGGCTCAGCCCATCTCATGAAGCTCTTGTCTGAAAATGTTTCCATGACCCAAGAATATTGTGAGCCACCGAAGAAGAACGGCTTAAGCCTTGAAGGCGTCCCTACTCCTCACAAGCCAGCCATGCTTCCACCAGGCACTAGCAAGCTGGATGCCACCCCAGACAACTACATGGTCCCTCCAGGGGATGTATACGACAACAGCTCATTGAACTCCCTCTTCGAGACCATCCCCGTAGCCCCACCACAGCAGAGGTGGCAGCCAGACAGCACTTTCAAAGAGGATCCCCAGGAGGTCAGAGCTGTTAGTGGGTTGCATGCTGGCAGTGCAGCCCAGGGGGTACTGCATGAGGCTGTCTCTAGTTTGGGGTTTGCTCATGCTGGAGTCAGTGGGAGCTTTGCTTTTGCATTAGAAGCTTGACGCCATTCCCATTGAATTGTTGGGATTTTACATTGATTTTGGAAGTAGGATAAGGCTCTGAAATGATGAGGGTCCATGTTTTATCTATGGCCTCTGTTGTAATGTCTGGGAGAAGGTGGATGGACAAAGCAATGAAAGATTCTACTTTTGACTTTTTCGTTTCCTCTCATCCACAGTCGCTACTCTTCAGTGATATCCTCAAACCCCAGCCAGAGCCACCTTGCCCTGAGAGTTATGCTACAGACGGTGTTAAGAGGTAACTGCCAATCCATGGTCTCTGGGTTTCCAGTGCACTTGGCTGTGTCCCTTTCCTGGGGAAAGACTGCATCCCTTTCCTCGTTCCAATGCCAGTCGCGACAATGACCGCTGCAAACTCACAGATGTCATGCTTTTGCAGAGACAAGTTGTGTCCCTCTGGCACCTTAGGAGCAAGTTGCTGTTTCATGACTTTTAGACACAAAGCAGTGACGAATTTTAGTGTTTGTAGTATGAAGCAGGGATTAGGGTTTGAAATGTTTTGCTGAAAAGGAGTCAATCCCAATCTTCAATTCAAGTTGATAGATGCAGTTGTGCCGGTTCATGATTTTAGCCTGAGATGTGTGTGGTTCAGCCTGAACTGTTGGCCAAACTGTAAATCCAGTGCTGACTGCTTCCACTGCTGTGGTCACATCTCATCAGCACCTTGACCTGCACGAGGGGAGCCGTGGCACTGAGGTCTTCCATGAGAGGGTTTGCTGTGCATTACAGCCCCTTCCCAAGGAGCACTGCTTGGTTCCCATCATACAGATAGATCCAGGTGGCTGCACCATCTTTCCACAAGCTATTTGGAATGGTGTAAATGACAGAGAAAATGAGGATGATGGTTGATAAGGGTGATAAGCAACCTCCTCCTAATCGAAGGTTTAAGTTCTCACTTTGGGTTCAGCACTGTTAGTCATCCTTGATTTCTAGAAGGTGTCACTGCGTCTCATTCCTGAAACAGGAGAGAGGTTTCTTCCTTCTTTCAACTCCTCTCTCAGGCAGAGCTTTCCTGCTCTAGATACCGCATCAAACCTCCGAGTAGGTAACATTATTCCACCTCTCACTTTTTATTTGCCTCCTGAGTCACCTGACTCTGTGACTCAGCTGTCAGACGTGGGGATTTTCACACAGACAGCAGCTTGAGTTCATAAGCATGAGGCTTTCTGTTTGCTGTTTATTTGTGCACTAAAGTTCTTTGGCTCTCCTGGCTCCAGATAAGAGGAGTTGCCAAGCCTATCTTCAGAGATGGCATCACAGGGGAGGTGGAGCAGGGAAAAGAGATGGGTTGGTGACTAAACAGGAATACAATGATCTTCAACTCCAGGGCACTTGAAGGGTCTGCGTGAAGGCTTGTGTACAGGTGGTGGATTGCACAGATTCCTCACAGAAGAAGATAGCCTGAGCTACAGCCTCATGGTTTGAATGCTCATAGGTGCTGGTGAAAGCCCAATGGCTTCTTGAAAATCAGGCTCTTCTTTTAAATTTTCCTGTCAACAGTGACACCTTCCTTGATGTAACACTACAGATCTTTTCTGTAAAGACTAAAGTTCCTGCCCACCAGACAGAGTTCAACAAGCTGGGCTTCTAAATCCATGTTTAAGCACTTGGAGGAACAAGCAGATGTGAGTGTCCTGCAGGTCCTCCTGTTTCTACAGGACCCATTAGGACACAGTCTTCCTGGGTCAGCCATTTATGGGTGTGAATTTGGAGACAGGAATCTGAGTTTAGGATGTTGTAAAAGTCTCATCACAGGTACCTATTTTTGTTTGGTTTGGTTTAGGCTTTTGATTGTGCAATGGTGCTGTAGCCATCCACAGAAAAATACCGGTTACAATAATGCAGAGGGGGTTTTTAAAGCTGAAACCGAAGGGTAAAATGAGGATATCAGAGAACTGCTGCTCCTCAGGGTGTTGGGGAGGATCAGTATGTGCTGTGCTGGGAGGTGCTTGATGGTGCAGGGGCATGTGAGATGGGGAATAAGGCAGACAGACTCCTGTGTGTACAGTGTCTGCAACCTGTAACCTGTAGGGGTGGAGACTTACATGTCTCTGGTTTTGCTTTTGGAGCGAAACAGCAGTGTGTGCTTATTCATCATTCTCTCTTTGTTCCATAAAAGTGACTTTGAATACACTCTGGGGTCACCTAAAGCCATTCACATCAAATCTGGGGACTCTCCCATGGCCTACCTCAACAAAGGACAGTTCTACCCCATCACGCTGCGGACAGCTGGAGACAGCAAATGTTTACACTTGTCCTCAAATAAAGTGAAGGTAAGAGACAAGCTGACAATTTTGCTGACACATGCTGTAATCAGACATCCAGCAATTGTACTGGCCTGAGAACAGAGCTGAACATGAAGAGTAATGGCTTTGTGGCTCATGTTGGCTTAAAGCGATGAATGGGATGGATTCGCTCATAGTAAGCTAATCCTCTGATGCACAGCAACAGCCTTCGTGTTCCCTGGCAGTTGAAACCTTTCACAGTAAGGTCAGGGCTGCACAAAAGGCATCCCTAGAGGGTGGCTGGCTGGGGGCCCTGGTGGGAAGACTTCTGAGCTAGAGAGAGGTTCCCCATCTTGCTCCCGGGATGTGTGGCCAGGCCTCAGGGCCACCCTTGAGACTAACCAGAGCTTGAATTCCCAGCAAAGAAACTTGGTCCTCCAATCCTGAGCAGTATTTAGGGTCTAGTCTTTGAACATCTCAAGACTTACAGGATTCCTGAAAGTGAGAATGTCTAGAAAAAGATCACGTAGGCTGTCCCAGCCTAATACTTGCTGTGGCACTGATGACTTTCCTCCAGCACAGGATCCTTGTATGCCTTGAAGTCAATGGAAATTCAGGGGCAGTGCAATTGGGGGGCATACAGGGCATCTCAGTTTTGCTCCTGACTCTGTCACTGCCTTCCTGTCAGTGTTCAAGTCCCTTCCCTTGCCTGCCTCAGTTTCCCAGCTATAAAACATGAACAGTGACACAAAGCTGCCCTTGGCCAGTGCATGGGTGCACTGGATGGAAAAGGCAACGAGGGCACCAAGCATTAGCGTGCTGTGTATACTGATCTGGGATATCATCTCTGTGTTACAGAGTGTTGTGATGATTGTTTTTGACAACGAAAAGATCCCGACGGAGCAGCTCAAGTTCTGGAAGCACTGGCATTCCCGCCAGCCCACAGCCAAGCAGAGAGTCATTGACGTCGGTATGATCAGAGCTGTCGGGTTGTGATGGCTGGGTGGGGTTGATAACTTCTAGCACCATTTTACTGCATTTCCAATACACAATAACACAGCTGAAGCTCCAGAATCTGGCCTGGGGAAAAGCAGGGAGGAACAGGCCGATCTGCTGGCTTCGGATCCTTTCTGGCTTCAGAGCTTTTGCAGGTTTAAGATGGTGTTTGCCAAGTGTAGGGACATGTGCTAGGAGACCAAGATACATTAAAGAGCTGCCTCAGTCAGAGAGACAGAAACTGCTAAACAATTTTGGCTCTTACAGATGTGACCCATGGACTCTTGGAGTCTAGAAAAGGCTTTGGGACTGCTTGTCCTTCTCCACTGCCACCACACAGGCTTTACAGTGTGTTACGCTTGGCCAGACAAAGGTTTTGTCTGTCTAGCTGAGCACCTCGCTGAGCACCTTGCAGCTCAGAGCGAGACACAGAGTTGTTTGAATTCAGAAGCAATCTGCAATGACTTTGCATAACATCACTGCTCAAACAGCAATCACCAGCCAATACCTTTGAGTCACTTTGGCCTATCCCTTACATATGCACACCAAGGTTTATCCAGTGGTATCAAGGATGGCCTCTATTACATTACAAGGCTTCTTTTGGCCTTGGAGTCAGTGAGAGGCAGGCTTCTGGGGAGTGGAAAGCCTGGGGAATGTAACCAGTTTTGTGGCCAGAGTATAAACTGCTTCTCCATTACATTTCAGCTGATTGCAAAGAAAATTTCAACACAGTGCAGAACATCGAGGAGTTAGCCTACAATGCCCTGTCCTTTGTGTGGAACATCCACGAAGAAGCAAAGGTACAAACTGTTTGTGGAAGGGATAGGGGAAGCCTTGGTCCACAGCAAAACTGTAGCCTCTTTTCTGACAGCCCAGGCACGCTCCTCTGCTTCTCAGCTGAAAGACAGAGAGAATTTCAAATCCAAACAATGCCATTCCAGTGGCCCCGGGTAGTGTTTGTCTGCCAGGACAGTGGGGAAGGACACCATGTTTCTGTGTGTGTTTAAGCATTGCCATTAGCTAATAAACATGCTGGGTACACCTGAGACCAACTCAGAGATGTTTTTTTAGTGCTGATGGATAACTCTGAAGAAAGCCTTTTGCAGCAGGCAGCCTAGATCAGGGCTCTACTCACAGGTAGGTGAAGCCTATTTAAATAAACCACAGCTTAGGGAACAAAGACCCTCCTTTCAAGGCAGCATTTTGATGCAGGAATGACTGACCACCCTTCCGTAGCCTGTGTGATGTGGAAGGGAGCCAGGCAGGTCACAAGATCCCTTTTGACCTTAAAATCTGTAAAGCTTCTATCAATGTCTTTCCAGCTCTGCTGTCCCCTCTACATCTCTTCAGAGTCTCTCATTAACACTTTGTATCTAGCGTGGATTGAAAGGAGGATATAAAAAAAGATGAAGCAACTAAGAAAAAAAAGCATAAACACCCCATCTCTCTGAAGCTGGTAGCCTGGGAAAACTCTGGTTTGCTTTGGGATCTCAGTAAGCCCTTCTTTTAGCCCAAAGGCGACCTTGGTCTTTTACAACCCAAGAGGTTAACAAATGTCTTCAAGGCAAAGTTGTCAGAAATGGAAATATGTCAGGTATGTGGCAAGCCCTCGGGGGCACCTCAGAAAAACTGGATTTAACTCTTAGCAGAAACTCTGTACATGCACTGGCCTGGGGCAGGTAAAGGTGAGACTTCAGAGAGCTGGGAGAGCTGGGAGCCGCCACAGGAGGGGTCAGGTATTTGGGTAGTCTGTAGCACCTGTTACTTCTTTTCTTGCAGTTAAACTTCACACCACAGTTAAGTGGTTTTCTTTTCTATATATAGGTACTGACTAGATCTGACATTAGGTTTCAGGGCTGAAATCTTCAGCCAGAGCCCTGCTGAGGGAGCTGTGGGAGCTTCTCCAGCTGCAAATCTGTCCCCAGAGTCCAGGGGAAATTTCAAGGTCACACAAAGATTGGTAATTTGGAGATACAATGAGGATTATGTCTGTGCTCAGTTTTTCTTCAAAAGTTTCCATTGGAGGTAACTCCGTCCTAGTGATAAAGGAGACCAGTGTGTGATGAATATTTATTTAACTGGCAGCAATGATTTGTAATTCCTGAAGCTGTAGTCTAGCCCTCCTCCCTTCCTCCAGGGCATTGCTGTCTGAGGGTCCCATGTTCAAATGAAAGATCAGAAATAGCTGCAAGAACATCCCCAGGCAGACTCCGCATCTGGTCTGAGGCTTGCCTGAGCTGATGGGATTGGGTAGGTTAAGTGTTCCTAAAGAGATGGAGAGCTGCAGTAGGTGTGGGGGAGACTGTGGCTAGGATGCTGGGAGGGTTGGAAGGATGCCTCGGCAGCTGCTTTTGTTCCTACCCACTGTTCTCGTTGCTGTTTTCAGCACCAAGCAGCTGTATCAATCTCTGTTCCTATTTGCAGGTATTTATTGGGGTGAATTGCCTGAGCACTGACTTCTCCTCCCAGAAAGGAGTGAAGGGTGTCCCGCTCAACCTCCAGATAGACACTTACGACTACGGCAATGGAACCAGCCAGCTGGTGCACCGCGCCGTCTGCCAGATCAAGATATTCTGCGATAAGGTAGAGCGTTGCTTTTCCACCAGGTTGTCCAAGAGGAATTTTAAACTGGTGGCCAGTGACTCCAGGATTAAAACCAGAAAGGTTGTGAGAGTCTAGACCAGCCTAGAGGTCAGGGCTGAGGAGCAGGGATGGTTACCCCCCTCAGCTGAGTGAGACAGGACAGCGGGATGTGTCTGCACTGCTGAAGCCTTTGTAGAAGAGAGCTGTTAAAAAGTTTTCCCTGTAACAGACCTACATGGGATTGTGCCTCATAATAAACTCTATTTTTGACAAGTTTTTAAATAGCAGAAGAGATGAGAATCTCCTTAGAGGTTCTTCCTCAGCCTCAGATATCTTCCCATGGAAACATTTCTCACAGCTATTTTTGCCTGCATTTTTTATTTTTGAAAGCAAATTTTGTTTTCATTTTTTTAATTTAAAAGCATCAGAAAGTTCTGGATGGCCTGTCTGAGGGGAGCATTTTTGAATAAAGGCCGCCTTTACTTTAATGTGCTTACCTCCCGGAGATGGCCAGTAAACCCTCTCTTGCCAACGTTGGAACTATCAATGTCCTAATTTTTTCCTTCTCTTCCTCACAGGGAGCAGAGAGGAAAATGAGGGATGATGAAAGGAAACAGTTCAGAAGGAAAGGAAAATGCCTGGACTCCAATAACAATGGTCAGTGCTAGTGTTTGTTACCTGATCCGAAGCGTGTTGAAATCCATGTAGGCTTGTCCGTTAACTTCCACAAGATCTGGCCCTGGGTATTTCCAAGCCTGATGAACTCAGCATCATTCAGAAACAGCTTGTCAGTCAGGTCCTGGCCCGGTCTCCTAGTCCTTTATTAATACTAACCAACCTTTCTGAATTGTCTTGGGGTCTTGGCAGGGAGCCTTCCCTAAGGGAGACAGCACTGGGCAAGCCCTGAAGACCTGGTTCTGCGCGGTCCTGTCTGATTTCTAATATTTCTGTTGGGAGACCTTGGGCAGGTGCTTTCCCCTGTCTGCATGTAGTAGCCTCTTAAACTGCCACCTGAACTGAGATGAACTGGACTTTCCATCTGTAGGTCTGAAAGGCTGTTTGCTCTCTGGCTTCAGAGGGAATGAAATCACGTTCCTGAGGCCAGAGACTGACCTCGAAACCCAGCCAGTCCTGTTTATTCCCAACGTCCATTTTTCAAACCTGCAGAGGTGTGGCACGGTAAGTCCCTTCAAAAAACAACCAACCTGTTGCCCTCATCTGTCACCGCCATCATTTCCAAACTGATCAATCCCCCAGACATGACTTGTGTTATGTAAAAAAACAAAACCAAACCACAATTCTTCTGTGGAAATGTGGTGAACTAGAAGACGTAGCTGTCAGGAGTGGCCTAGATAGTCATGCAACAGTGATGGGCAAGATAACCTTGCCAGGTTCCTTCCAGCCAGATATTCCTGTGGTTTACAGGTATCATCTGCAGCTTCCACAGAGGACTGGAGTGGTAGGAAAAATATCAGCAGAAAATAAACTATAGAAAAATGCAATCATATCAGTCCCTGCATGTGGGGGATATCTCTCACTTGTCCTCTGCCCCTCTCTATCTCCTTGAGCCTGAGGAAGCCTAGACCTAGTCTCCTTTAGAGCTCATCAGTATTCCCTCAAGAAACAACTGTCTCAGTTTGTCAAAAAGGGGGAAGAAGCCATCTGTGACAATACTGTAGCATCCTGTTGCAGTGGCTGCTGTACTGATGCATCAGCATCAAAAACGGTCTGGAAGAATCTGGTTTACAACCAAAGAACTCACCGGGAAGCTTGGTCCTTGATCCCAAGCAGGTTATGAGATTTGACCAGCTTTGTGTCCAGCCAGATGTGTGTTCAGATCTCTTCTAGGCAGAGGAGGAGAACCTAGATAGGTTCTTTCTGTCAGGTTTCATTTAGTCTAAGAAACACATACAGATGTTTGGGTTTAGTTGTGTAGCAAAAATGATGGTGGGAGGAGGGAAATCATGTTTAAAATGTGCCCACGTTGCCTTCCCCCCCCCCCCCCCCCCCCCGGCTTCACTGGCACACAAGGATACTGTGCAAACTAAACGATCAATGTTTTCTTTCCATTTCAAGGTGCTCCCTCCTGCTGTTCCCAACTCTGCAAACAGGTAAGGATGCAGCGGTTTGTACTTCCCATCCATCAGCTGCTCTGTTTCTTTGGGTATGTCATGGTTGTTTGATATCCAGAGACAGTTATATCTACAGGTGCAAAATAACACAGCACAGTGTCTCCCTGGTGCCTTTGAGTGTCAAAATTATGTGTTCAGCTTTGGCCTAGAATGGACTTAAGGGATGCAGAAACGCAGACAGATTGCTTTCCCTATCAGTGAGCCACTCCAACATGAGTCTGGTCTGTGACTTTTCACCTGTTCTTATTGAGACAACGTTTGAAAGAGGGGGAAACAAAGATCACAGAACTATCACTGAAAGGTTCAAGTAACCAGAGGCAGATACTGCTGTAAAATAAACTGGAATGAAGTAGAAATCACACTTGTGATGTGTCTAGAGTGGGGAGAACCAGTGTTTACCCTAGGCTTGATCCACTGTCTAGTGCTATCAATAGAGAAACAATGACATGAAGGTGCAAAAGGCTTTTGTTTATGGTGTGATACCAAACCCACTGCCCACACCCACTGATGTCCCTGTGTGTGTTAGGCAGGAAGCTGCAGCTCTGGTAGACGCTCTGCTGCTGTAATTACAGAACCGATATTTAATTGCTGGATGTTTGTTGGAGTAATTGATTGTTCAATCAAAAATTCACTTGATGGAATTGTTTTGTTTGCTGCTATTGTTCTGTTCTCTTGAGAGTACTGTATTCCTTTTGCTCAGGCTGCCCTTAAAACGGAGTGGTGCCTCATTCACAGATGAGTTTGACCCGATACCTCCAAAGCAAACCAAGGAAGAAGATCCTCAGAGAGGTAACCCCTGGGATGGGAACTCTTCTTGGATGTGGTGTCTCATTTGATTCAAGTAACCTTGGATCTTGAATTACATGAGGCCACATCCCTCTGAGAACATGCTATCAAGAGCCGTGATGCAGTGCTGTGCTTTATCTCTTTCAGTCTTGTTGTACGTGCGGAGGGAGTCAGAGGAAGTGTTTGATGCTCTCATGTTGAAGACACCAGATCTCCAGGGCCTCAGAACAGCTGTAAGTGTTACCAAAAAACTGTGGCACATGAACAAACTGCAGGTAAAAGGGCAATGGCACTCGATATGTAGGAAGCTGGATATAAGACTGCTTATATCTCACATCGGCTCTCTCTAAATGGAAGCTGTGAGTAGCAGGTGGATTCTAAACACAACTCCTGGCATGGGCTGTGTGTTGTTAGTGCTGCAGCAGGGAAGAACACACCTTATGTCAAGATGTTTTGTTCAGACCATAAGCCTCCTCTTGTGACAACACACTGTAAAACTCCCATTCCCTTCTCAAGGCTGTAGATGTGCAATCTGAAGCCAATTCTGGCCTTATGTTGGAATTCCCTGTGTTGTGTTTGAGGAGCACACGGACATATTTCTGTGATGATTATCAGCATCATCTCTGATAACCCACCTCTCTTTGGAGATTGCTGGGAAGGAAACAAACAGTAAACCTCCCAGATTTGGGGTGGCTTTATGGCTGCACTTTAAGCTCTGTTGGTTTTACAAACTTTTAAAAATAGAGAGTTTGAAAAATGTCAGCACAGAGGATTCTTCGCCATCTTCTCCCTCCCCCATCCCTCATCACAAAGAGTCAAAAGCCTCTGCAGAAAATGCTGGTGAAAAAGCTACACAATGCCTGTCACCCTAAGGCCATAACTGTACTTGCCTAGGAGAGGTCTGCAGGAAAGCTTTGCAGATCAGCTAAAACCTACACAAAAGCTGCAGTCAGGGGCATCCACAGCAGAGAGAGTCAAACACTTCATGTGGTTTCTCTCACCTTTGGATGCATCAGCAAAGGAAAAGCTCAGCGCTGTGTCTGCTCAGCAGGTTGGCACATCAAGCCCCAACCAGGTCAGGGAATGAGAGAAACAAAACGAAGATTATTCCCCACGGTTCCTGGCCTGGCAGTAGCCGTCAGAAAGAGAACCAAGGCCAAGCTGCAGCCTGCCCATCTGCCCACTGTGGGACGCAGGCATGTTCAAATTGTCCTGTTCAGGGCGTTGCTTCGGCTCTTTTTTCTTGAGTAAAAGGGTGGGGGGATCCTTTGCGGCTGAATACCCCTGGCTCTGTTATCTTTGATTTTTATCATAGGAATTTAATTTTACAAGTACAAAGAATTGCCATGTTTTCTCTCATAGATTTCAGAAAAATATGGGCTTCCTGAAGAAAGCATTTATAAAGTCTACAAAAAATGCAAAAGAGGGTAAGCTAATCTCTCATCTGCTTTTATGCTGTGCCTCTAAAACCCCATTCTCTTTGGTACCCTGCCATAGGCTGAAATAGCGTTTTAACAAGATAATAAAAAGTAAAGCCATGTGAGTCTCTGCTATTTGGAGCATATAAAACTCAGATCTTTCAGGGCTTTAAAGATTTGGGATAATGCTTGTTTGTATTATATTTGTTTGGAGTGTAAAGTCTCCCAAGGAAAGGAAGTTGGATGAAGGAGGAATTGTTTGGGTAGTTTAATGGGTGATCCTTTGTGTCTCAGTCTGAAAGCCTGAGGTTAGGGCGAACTTATCTTCCTGCCATCAGAGAGGTAGAAATGTTTGCTTCTCCAAACCAAGTGCCTAAGTGTTCCCAGCCCAGAAAGACACTGTACCAGTTAAATGAGAGCATGGGCAGCCCCAGTGGAGAGATCTGAAAGGAGAGCGTCTGTTCCCAGCTTCGCCATCCCATCCCCGGACCAGGGAGGTCAGGAGGAAACTTCACACTCGCTTTGGGAGGTGATGGATCAGACCCTTCTGGGCACTGGTGGCTCCTGTGCAGCTCCAGTACAGAAATGCAGGTCCCACCTGAGACACTTGTCAGGCGCTGCTGGGACACGGGCGTAGCTCTACAGGGGTGACCGGTGAGGTTTGCAGTAAATGTGAGATGGTTTCTCAAGTGATTTCAACGTGGTGTTTATTAGTGACCGATCCACGTGGATCTCCCCCAGGGCTGAGAGGGAACGGTGCTGGTTTGTACCAGCTGCTGAGTCATCTGTGAAGGGCAGTGGTCTTGAGCTACTTTCAGAAATGTTTTCTGGACTAAGAACTCCCCCTGGCTTGTCCCCATCTCTGGCAGCCAGTTCTCCCTTCAGCTGATGGAAAGGGAATGACTCATAAACTCCCAAGCTTATTTTCATAAAGCTAAATCCAGAGCCCTTCTTGCAGAGCGAGCGAGATATAATCAAGCTTTGCAAGCAGCAGTGACTGCCTGGGAGATGAACTCATTGTTGTTGCTGGCCCTGGTCCACAGTTTGAGCTTGGGGAGAGACAGGCAGAAAAGCAAAGCTGATGACAGGTCCCACATTGTGCAGCTCTGCTGTTCTCGCTAGCACGGCCCCCCAGAGAAGTCCTCTGCGGAACAAAACAAGGGAACAGAGGCCTTGGGAGCTGGGGGTTAGTCCAGAGCTCTGCTTCTGCATTTTCCTTCTGGTGACTGTGAGATGAGAAAGTCCTAAATCTCCTTGGATGGGATCTTCCAACTCATTTAGTGTCACCATTCCTGGATCCCCATGGGACTTGGCCTGTTTGCTCCAAGGGGTGCCAGGCTAACGTGAGGCTTGGAGGCTGCTGCGGGCTGGGAGGGGGAGAGGCAGTGGTTTCTCCTCTGTGACGTGGTGTCACTGATCTGGGAAGCTGTTACCACCCCCTCACCTCTAAATCCACAACTGAGCAATCTTCCCCCATGTAGGAGGATTTTTAGATATGGTCCAAATTTTAAGATGATGGATGGGCCATAGTGAGGTATCTGAATTTGTCAGGAGGCTCTTCCACCTGTTCCTGAGCTCAGGGCTGTCAGATGCTGCTCATCCACTAGCCCCACAAATGGAAATTTTCTCCCTAAAGAAAAAGAGCAACACTGGCGGCCTCAAAAGAGGAGACGTCCCATACACCTTCAGTAAGAGAGTGCCTCAAGTCTGGTCTTGAAGAACAACTGCGAAGGACAGGGGTGGCCAGTTTATTATTACAGCTTCAGGACTGAACCAAGTCTCAGGTGTGTCAGCGGTGGCTGGTGGCTTGTGATGTGGCCATCCCAGGTCATCGGGCTGTCATCACCCAACAGCTCCGCTCAGGAAACTCCAGCTTGGGCTGGAGTTCTCTGAACCAGCTGACTGTCAGCATCTGCGCAGCAAGAGAGATCCAAGCACTGATGAGTTTGCAGGTGGATCAGGAAATGGCACCGCTTCAGGGGAGAGGCCACCTATGCTTTGTTTTTCTTTGGTTTTGTTCATTACTTGATCTGATAAGTAGTGAATGTTTTTTAATGATTGGGAGGGAAAACAGGCAGATGTCCTTTCCATCTTTTCCCCAAAATGGAAGAGCAAAGAGCTATCGAATGAAAAGACAACACCTGGAAAATAGATTAAAAAATAAATAAATTTGACACCTAGTTTAATGAAAGCTGGACATGACTGATGCTATAGGTTATTGCTGAAGTGTGGGGGACATACAGGATTTTCTCCAGTCTACTAGGTGGCAAGGTCAGACACTTTTTCTTGCTCCCCCAGATTTAATTTTCCTTTGAATAATTTTATCCTATTGCTCCACCCTAAACAATCCTCTCTTGGTAATTACAGCTTGAGGGTCAGATCTTCATCTGGTGTAAACCAGTGAAGCTCAGTGGTGCTACCTGGATTTACAGCAGGTGAGGACCATGGGCCTCCTTAGTGTGATGAGCTCATTCAGATGAACTTAGTCCCAGGGTGACTCAAGAGCAATAATAAGTAATTTTGTATCTTGGTGAGGTTTGGTCTAGAAAAACAATACAGGGCTCAGATTCCTAATCAACACTCCCTTGAATCTTTTGTGGTTGAGAAATCAGATGGGAGCACGGTACCAAGAGGCACAGGCGACTCCTCTGGCTTCCTGCACTAAGATAGCCAGAGATAACTTGGAGCGGCTCTGTTGCAAGGCTTTTTGTGACAACCCACCCTTGGGTACCCATGCTGCCTCCCCGGGGGCACCTGTGGGAGGCCGGGCTCTCCCTGGGCTGCAGGGCTTGGGGACCTGGGTCCCTTGTCCCCAGGCAGCCCCAGCGCCGCTCCCGCCCGGTGCCAGGTGAGGCGAGGAGCGGCCGGGAAGGTTACGATTCACCGGGAAGAGGCCTGGGCAGCGTCAGACCCTGTGCCTGAGCCTCCCCCTGCACTGGGTGGGATGCCCTTCCCACCAGAGATGCAACTGGGACGCCCTTCCCACGAGAGATGCAACGGCTCGTTGGTAAAGTGCTTTGGGCAGCACTGAAAGGCAGCGCGGCCTCGAGCCGCGGGACAAAGCTGAGACCAGAACAGGCTGGACACGGGGACAGACTGACAACTGGGCACGCTGGGCCAGGGCTGCGACGAGCCTGCCCGTGCGTGCCGTGATCAAACGGGCAGGGGCCTGTCGCTGCAGCCCGGGGTGGTGGCATTCCCCGGAGGGACACGGCGGCCCTGTGTTTGTGCTTGTTAAACTGTTAGATTTGTTCGATGCTCAGCCTTTTCTTTTTTCTTGTTTTTAATCTTGGCTTGTGGAGCATTGCACAATTAATGCTATTGCCCCATTAATGACCCCAGCAGGAACCTGGAGGGGATGTGCTTTCTGCAGAGAAAGATAATTTGTTCTCTTTGTTTCCTCCAAGCAGTTACAAATTTCACATCTGATTTATGGGAACACAGTGGGGTGATGCAAAGCTGCCCCGTTACTTTCATTACAATAATGAGGGGCTCTCTCCTGGCACAGGACCGCAGCCTCGGGTTTAAATCAGCTGTTGAAATGTTTCCTTCTCCCCGTGTCTCCGCGTAATTCATTCCAGGTCAGCGCAGCTGTGTGATCTGCAGCGGGGTTGAGGTGTGCCCTTGAGCACGGGGAGGAATTTGCCCCTGGCTGGCCCAGCTGGCTGCACACTGAGCCTGCCCCTGTGTGCTCCTCGCAGAAAGGGCTCGCAGGCAACGCTCAGGGCTTGTCTGCATGGGAGGTTGGTCTGGAGAGGCGAAAGGCGTCCTATTCCAAACCACTTCCATCTACTCCCAAGGCAGTCTCAGCTTGTTCAGAATAACGCACCCCTAAAAGCACCCAGGCAAGAAGCGAGGAGTGAGCAATTCTGCTCTGAATTCACACCCAGCCGTAATCCAGCTTAATTTGCCTGCCTAGCAAACACTGGGCCTAGGCATGTCGAGAGTAGAATTGCGAAAAGCTCTGCAGGTTGTTTCTTTGTGTTGTATCGTGCCTTTAATTTGATGGGCTGAGCCCCTCAAACTGGGGAGGGTGGACGTTGCAGAGTCTCCTTGTGCCTGCCTGGGGCTGCGATCCCGGAGCAGCCTGAGCAGCGGCTGATCCACGAGCACGGCTGCCATAACGCAACGCCGATGGAGAACAGGGCAGTAAAGGCAATTTGTAATGGGAATTCTGTGTGGAGACAGTTCAGAGAGGGCCACCCCCCTGGCATGAGGCTTTGTCAGTGACATTAGTTCCAGTTCATGACAGTAATGTCCAGCTCTCCCGACTAAGTTGCTCCTCAAACCTTTCCGTGTGCTGCATCCGACCCAGCCCTTCTCCCTCTCCTGTAGGATCCTGGTGAACATGGACAACAACATCATCCAGCACTACAGCAACCACATGGCCTTTCTCCTGGACATGGTGGAAGCAGAGGACAAGTTCCAGATCATCCTCAAGGAGCTATAAAGAGCCGCAGGCAGCACTTACTGGGACTTCTCTCAAAGCCGGCAAGTTTGACCCAACAGAACTCAGCCTAGTGCCTCAACTTGTTGCCTTTACTTGAATACTGCCTCTGGGGAGGACCTCGGCCTCGCGGGGCCGGGCCGGAGACTGCTTGGAAGATCTGTTATTGATGTGAAAGTGGAACTTCTCTCTGTTGAGTTTATTATTATTATTTTTTATTTTATTTTATTTTATTCCCTTCTGGCGATGGGCCTGACCTCCTGTTCCACAGCTGGGAACGTGCAGCTCCAGTAAGATGGCTGTCGGAGCCTGGGCAGGGGCAGGGGACTGCCTCTGCACGCTGTTTGCCTTGGCCCGTGACTGATCCAACCCTCGGCTTTGGCTTTCTCCCAAACCACCAGTCATGCAGAACCTTCAAACCATTTCCAGCAGGGCTGAGCCCAGCTCTGAGCTTCTCTCTGGCCACAGAGACTTTTCACAGATGCATTGAAAACTCACTGTTGAACGGACACTGCCTGCTCCCATGCCCCCCACCCTGCCATATCTCTGAGTGTAAATACCACAAAGGCCTCCATAGCCCTTGTTTATACATTTCTGATGTATTGTCCCTTTTATATTTTATATATGTATAAATATGCATTGTTTTATATTTGACTCAGTACGGTGACACAGAGCATTTCAAACACAGGCTGCTTCACATTTCTCCGTGAACTCCTTTTGTAACTGTGTTGTTGGTTTTTGTTGTTTTGGATATTCCGTAGTAATAAAGGCTCAAAGATGGAAAGTGAACTGTTTTCACCCAGCTCCGGAGGCTGGAGCTGGGCAGGCGCCAGGGCAGGGAGGTGACCCCGGCGGCACAGAACGGACTCCAGGCTGGGCTTGCACCTCACGCTCTTCAGCAGCACGAGGAGTCTGTCTGTCTGTCTGACCCGTCTCTCCGTGCAGGGGTGCGAGGCAGAAAGCACTGCCCGTCTGCTCGGGGCCGCAGCTCCCGCTTCCCCTGTGTGACCGCCCGGGCTGCTCCTCACCCCTCTCCCTCCCCGTTCCGCGCCGGCTGCTGCAGACGTGCCGTCACGGCGCGGGCGGGTGGAGGTCACCGGGCAGTTCTAGGCACATCCCTTTGATGGAGGGGATTACGTTACACAGATTTGGTGAAATTTTGAGCAAGTCAAAAAGAAATGCCCCGTTTGACTTCTGCTCAGAGGAGGAGCAGCTCAGTCTCTTTTTGCAGAGGCGTGTTAGCAGGTGGCCAGGACCTCCTTCCATGCGCTGCACTGGCTGCTTGAACTCCTCACTCCTGCTCTCTCTCAAGCACCAATCCTTCACCCCGTGCTAAACTGTCTGCAGGTGCTTCCCATTTAGGTAAAAAATACCAAGGGGAGTCCTGTATTTTCTAATTAATTCTCTGACCCGTGAAAACCAGGCACTTTCCTCCTCCCTCATCTTTATCCTCTGCTTTTCCTGTCCATGTCCATGTGAGATGGACCCGAGTCCCATGACTGGGGAAGAGAGAGCAGCTCTACGCCCACTGGGAAGGGGGTTTTGAAATGTTGAAGCACATTAGGCTGGTGAATTTTGGATTACTTAAGCGTTGTTATCACGATGAGGAGGGCCTCTAAGGTGAGTCTCAGATAAGTCTGAAGGCTTATCAACCTTTGAAGATCTCTCCCAGCACTCTGCACTCCTTCATCTTCCTATCATAAACTCCTTCTTCAGCAGGATTGCTCTGATTCAGTGTTGGTTCCACAAGGCTGTGCCTACGGTCTTTTTATAGCAGAATTTCAGCTCCAGTTAAAAACAGGCACACCAGGACTTCCCCCAACACGTAGCATCAGCGGCTGGTGAAATCTACAGGTACCCCCGTCACCCTGACACATCAGGCGGGTGCGGGCGCTCTGCTCTTCTCAGGGGAGCTCTGCAGCAGGACCCCGCGGGGCACCTGCCAGCGCTGCCTCCGCACGGCTGCTCCTGGGGAGGCCGAGCCCGTCCTGCCTGGCCGAGCGCTTGCTGCTCGGGCAAGAGCAGAGGTTTCCCGCTGCCTGTGGGACAGGGAGCACCCAGCCCCCTTAGAGACAAGGGCATAGGTGGTTCGGGAGAAGCCCCGTGTCCTCCGCACCACCGGAGAGGCCCGAACACGAGGAATCGGTACAAAGAGCAGCTGGACGGAGCGGGGAGCAGCCTGAGGGCTCGCTCGGGGTTTCTGCAGGGCGGCAGTGCTCTGCCCAGCGCTCTGCCGCGGCCCCCGGGGGAGCCCCTGGGAGTGGAGGTGGCTCCGCCGCGCAGGACGGCCTTGGGAGGGCTGCGGCTGACTGGGGGGGGTTGTGCACGCCATGTTATAGGCTCTTGGTGACCCCTCAACCTTCAATTTCTTGCTCTAAAAGTTTGATTTGGGGGCTAACTTCCTACCAGTGTAAACATAGCTCTGCCTGTCTGATTCTCAGTTAGGCTAGCCTAACTCCATTGACTCCAGTGGCATTACTCCTAATTTACAACAGCAAAAATCATCTCACATTATAACCTTAGGTCCTCAGCAGAACAATGATGGATTTTGCTGGATTTTACAGTGGTCCATTTCACACTGGCTAAGTTTCACAGGGTGAGAACTGCCCTGGCTGGAGCTATGTGTGTCTGCACAGTGCATATGACTTCTCCCCGCTTTCTGTTCATGGGCTGGAGGCAGAGAACCAGCTGCTTTTCCTGTGCAGGTTCTGGGTAATCTTGACTTCGATAGGTTTTAAATCACGGTAACTTCGCTGTGTGCAGGGAAATGCTGGTTGATTCATGCCAGCGTAAGAGCAGACACAGTCACCGCCCCCTGCCACCCCTGCCGAGGGTGGGTGTTTTGCTGACTGGCTCAGTATCGTTCATCCCTTCCAGCAAAGGCGAGTTGCTGTAGAGGTTGCGTAAAGCAGAGCTCCCAAATATGTGAAAGCATTCTTGACTCTTTGCCCGGAGCCCACCAGTTCCTTTTGAAGATTAAGATACGAGTGATGAAGGCGATTCACCTCTGAGCGAACAAAGGTCGTGTGAAAGTATGAACCCACTTGTGTTTTGCAAAGGGCTTGCGCTGACAAACGAGAGCAGCTTCCTCGGGAGCGGTGTCTGCTCCGGACAGTCGGCGGCTGGTTTGTGCTGACTCCAGTCAGAAACGTTCAAGTCAACTGGTTTGTAAAATGTACGTGGCGGGCGCGCGGCGGTGGTGTCCGGGCACACGTGTGCACCTCGGCGGCTGGACGCGCCTTCACCGGCATCGGGCTGCGGCTGCGCCGCGCCTGGCAAACCCAACTGTCCATCCTCAGAGCAAGCAAGGGGCAGAGGCGCGGGGTTTGCTCGCGCTGCCCTTCTGCATCCCTACCCTGGTAAGGAAGGATTCCCCACAGGGGTAACGTCTATGGGCACGGTCAGTCTCCAGCACCTGTTTTCTCTTTAGTTATCAGATGAAAGCACCAAGGGGAGTTCTTTTGCAATGCCCATTAATTGTAGTAATTATTCAACATCTACAAAACTGGAAGCTTTCAAATCAACTTTAGCTAATGATCATTTTCCAATACACGGTACCAAGCACTGCTAATTAGCTGCTGAGCTATCAGCCAGCCAGCTGTGGCAGGCTGAGGACAGGAGCGTTTACTGTGAGTTAGCGTGAGGCCGAGGGGAGTCCTGTTTGAGGATCCCTGCTCTGGTGTCCAGGTTCTGCTGCTCCCAGTGCCGGGAGCCGCTTCCTGCTGTAGCTGCAGACTAAGGAATATTTCCTGAGTGCTCCGGGTGAACAAGCGCCTGCAGTGACAGAGATGCACAAAAAAAGAGAAACGTATCGGCATGTGAGCTGAGTTGTGCAAGAGCTCTGGTATCCCCAGTGCTGGGTGGAGGGCTCTGCTCCTCAATTCTACAAATAACACCCAGTTTCTATGTCTTTATTCCGTGCTTATTCATTCCTTGCGTCATCAACCAAGCAGCTGAGGATCTCGGCGTGTGGTGTGGTTCTCCATCGCTACAAAGGGCAAAACAGCATCCTGTGTTTTGTTAGGACACCCACACGTTGTGTTTGGAGATGCCCTGGCGCTGTGTTGGGTATCGGAGAGGATCAAAGACAGAGGAAAATGAAACTGTCTGCATCTGTTTCGCAGTGTGGAAAGCTTTAATGAAGATCCCCTCCGCTCTGCTTTCTCACCTATTTCCTCGGGTAGTTCCTTGGGTTTGTGTAACTAAATTTCTGATCGGTGCGATGGGTACTAAAACCCTCAGCTTGTGTGAACGTCCCGGTATCTTCAGCTGGAAAGTGTCCTTGGCCATAGAATTAGAGTTTAGTGCTAACACTTAGTGTGCCCGGGCTTCAGTTTAGCTTTAGCATGTCGAGGGTTGTCTTGATTGTATGCTTGACTGTGAGCCCTGTGCAAGGCATCACCCAGAGCTCCTGGGAACACCAAGACCCCAACCCCAAACAGCCCAGGCCCCAACAGCTGCTGAATAACCAGCCTTTAATAAAGCTGCTGCTTTGTGTCAGCCACTGACTGATTTAATTGCGAAGTATTTTGCCTCCCTGTAGTTCTGCTCACTGTGGTATAGTACAGAATAGCTCTGTACGTATTGTGTGTTCTTGTGGGCAAAGGGCTCAAGTCGCCTCTAATCTCATGACTGGGAGTTTTGATCTGGTGATATTTTCTTCCCCTCTTTTAGGGCTGGAGTGGAAAGGAGATGTGGGTTTTTTCTAGCAACAGGTCAAAGACTACATGGATGGCTATGTCTGTGGTGATGCTGTCCCCTTGTCCTTTTCATGCACTGACATGGTACTGCACGGGTTTCTAATCAAACTGGCATAAAAGACTGATGAAAATGAAAGAGGGCATTTCTCCATCACCTGCAGAAAGTATTTTTAGCCCATTCCCTTCCTCTTTAATTAATTTGGGTAACCATCCTTAACAACTGTGGGTCAGATATTCAGAATTAATATACCGGCCTAGCTCTGTTCCTTTAACTGAAACAGACTGATTTACGTTGGCTGGGGATCCTGTCCTACCTTAGTCAGCACAACAGCTCTCAGGAGTTGGCATGTTGACGTGGTACGTTGCAAGCCCGGGGTATGATCAGGACACGGCTCCAGAAAAGCCCATTACCCCGTCTGTGCTGCTGCAAAGGCTCTGGAGAGACTAATGGCACCAGTGTGTTCTCTCACTGCCTGTGGCTAGTACAAAATCTGCAGCTGGGTAAGTTCAAACGCTAGAAATAATAGCAGTATTGCTATTGTCTGCTTTTCCAGCCTTTCAGTAACCTCCCAGGACTTAAGAATCTTAGAAGAAATAAACAGGGTGAGAACTATGAGTCCGACTAACTGGAAAAAATAATGTTACTTGCGCCTGGCAACAATTAGCCAACGGGCACTGAGGACATGATCCACCCAGGCTGAGCTGAGCTCTACCTCCACCCCACGACGAGCTCTGTATCCACACAGGAAAGAACTGCTCGACACAGGGGGACTGCGGCAGGATTTGTCCCTGCATCTGCCTCTCTCTTATCAACGCTAACGTCAGGGTCAAAATTCCGCACTGTCCCTTGTGTGAGCTGTCCCTTTGTCATTGAGGAACCATTGCCAGCTGTCACCACTGGTCCCGGCTGGAGGGACTGGTGGCATGTCACCATCAGTCAGCACGGTGCGTTTAACCCTCACTGAGGGTAGGTCCTTCCTCCTGCTTCCCCAGGCATTTCCTAATTACAAGCTGCAGGATGTGTTTCTTCTCCCATTTTACTCAGCTTTACGTCAGGAAAGCTCTGGTGGAGCCCACGGAGGACGGGATAGCCAGAGGGGTATAAACCCGAGGGGACTGTGCCGAGGTGCTCTGTAACACTGCTTGCCAGCTGGGGCAGGGAGGCTCTCCCTAGTGTGAGAAGGCATGCTTCTCCCCCCCACACCCCTCCCTGCAAGTGCTCCACTCTTCCAATCAAACAGAAAAATATTGCAGGTGAAATGTCTGTTATACCAACACCAGAATTATGTGATAGTTTTACACACGCACCAGAACTCACAGAACCTGTTTGTCAAATGCACTGACAGCCTGTGATGCTTTAATGGCCTTTACATTGCAAACATGTTTTTTTCAGTCTTGCCTTTAAAAGTAATATTGTAAAATATGGACCAGCAAGTTGGACAAAGAGCTGGTAGCCAGGTCTCTAGTGCTGTTGCTGCCACGTTGCTGCTGTGTGGCCCTTTGGATGATATTAGACCATGTAAAGGTGTCAGGAGATGCTACGCTCTGAGCTCATACGGATTTAGACACTTGGTGCTCATCATAAACCTACTGTCTCCAGTTCACAAAAGGTCCTACATGCCATGTGCTACTGAGTTAGGTCCCCTTCAGACATGGCATGTGTCTTCAGGAGTCCACATGCCTTTGCAGGTGAGCTCTGCTAATTTCTGTGCTTCGCTTTATTTTTTTTTTCCCTGTTGAGCAGGCAATAGTGCTGTTTAGTCACATTTGTGTTTTGCTATCTCTAGCAGTGAGATGTACTTCAGAACAATTCTTATTTTTACCTGTCCCAGGGAACCCTTCCTGTGATGTGCGCTCTGCCCATTGCCCTGTGTTTGAGACAAACACAGCACTTGAGCAGTCCCGCTTTGGACATCCTTTGTCATCCACAAGGTCATACTGCCCAGGCAAGGGAGGATCTTTACAAGGTGGGATGGTTTGGAGCAGAAAGAGTCCAGCAGAATTTCTGCCTGTCAGAAGAAAAAGAGATTTGAGGAACTTGTCCCACATTGATGGGGTTTTATGTCTGAATATAAAAGCTGTGGGTTCTGTTAAGTGCCCTGGGGAGGTGGAGGCTTTGTCCTCCTAAGCCAAAATCTTTGTGAAATGATCTGGGAAAAAAAGGGTCCAATTGCAATGGCATAGACAGCCTGCTTTGCTTATTGTAAAATAGAAAGACTTGTCAGTGGTCCAGCCTCTGTAGAGACCTGGCTGCTCAGCTACTCCAGAGGAAGATAGCGCTGAAACCAAGACAGCAATGCCAAATGACTCCAACTGGGAGTTCCTCCCATTTTCTCCCACTGACTGAATCAGGAGAGGGAGCAGGCTCTAACCCCAGCAGTTGGGCGTGGAGTGTTTTTGTGTTTTCTGATAATACAGACTGACGATCTTCTCTCGTATTTAATACGCTCTTTCCTCTAGCCCTCTGTCCTTATCAAGTGCCACTTGGCATTGCTTCCCTTTCAGCCTACAGCTTCCCACTCTTTTTACAAAAGCCCTGTTATAAGATACAACTGCTGAGAGATGTAGTAAAGATACACCTGTTGGGTAAGGAGAGCCGTGGGCTTTCTCATGTTCTCATTCTTTTCCATGGTCAGGAATTTATTGTTGATCTTAATCTTAGGCCAGGCAACGTCACTGCATGGTGACAATAAATTTACTTGAACAGTTTGCTGATAGGCAGATTTATTTGTCTTCTCATAAGGATACCAAGGGGGAGGAGGGCTTGGAAGAAGGGAGTTTCCTTTCATGCCTTTTAATCTCTTTGAAACAAGCAGTAGGATGGAATACAAGGGAATGGCAGTTCTAGCTTGAAGGAAGTGCTTGAGACCTTTACAAGCCTCTTTCCAGCTCTGATTCCCAGCCTTAGCAGGGGCTGAAGAAATGCCCATGTTTTACCCATCAGGTTCCTTGAGATGCTGTGCAGCTACGAGTAGGTCCAAAAGAGGCCACTGAGATGCTCTGGGGGCTGGAGCAGCTCCCCTAGGAGGCCAGGCTGAGAGAGTTGGGGGGGGTTCAGCCTGGAGAAGAGAAGGCTCCAGGGAGCCCTTCGAGCGGCCTCCCAGGGCTTAAATGGGGGACAGGAAAGGTGGGGAGGGACTCTGGATCAGGGGGTGGGGATAGGACAAGGGGTGAAGATTTTAAACTGAAAGAGGGGAGATTTAGGTGAGATCTAAGGCAGAAATCGTTCCCTGTGCAGGGGGTGAGGTGCTGGCCCAGGGTGCCCAGAGCAGCTGTGGCTGCCCCCTCCCTGGAAGGGTTCAAGGCCAGGTTGGACGGGGCTGGGAGCCCCCTGGGCTGGGGGAAGGGGTCCCTGCCTGGGGCAGGGGGGTGGGACTGTATGGGCTTTAAGGTCCCTTCCAACCCAAACCAGTCTGTGACTCATATGACCCCTCACCACTCCTGCCCAGTGGTTACCAGATTTGACTCTCTATGCCCAGTGTGTTCCTCTGGGGGTGAGTTTAGGCACTGGCAATGCAAAAGAAACACAGCCTAATGCTTAATGCCCCTGACTGGGATTTGAAGGATCTTTTTTCCAGGTCATGTGTGCTCTGTCTTCTTGCTCTGTACAATGGGGATAAGAAATTACCCCTACATCATAAGGGTGGTGCAGTATTTAATTACTGTTTGTAAATGTCTGAGAGATCATCTGATAGAGGTACCTCTGATACACTGCTTCAGGGTGTTATCAACCCACACGCCCCTTCAAGGCAGTGCACTGTAACACTTCCACCTCTGAGCCAGTTCCTGTAAACCTGTGGCAATAACTGGCCCATTGGACCAGACAGTGGAGTGGGATACTGTAGGATCACTCTGCTACATGACATATTGTCGTTTGTCCCATGGAAGAGGCATGGACTTACCTGAAAGGCATTTTCTTTGCTTCCTTGGTAGGTTTATGTGGCTGATAGGTTGCAGGCTCCGGAGTAAATCTGCACAACCTTGTTAGGCAGGAGGTCTTTGCCTTGAAGCAAGATGTTATACCCTTGGGGGAGACACCCTGATGAGGGAATCATTGATGCTGTAGTGACCTACAAGACAAACAGGAAAGGGATGTAAATACCAAACAAAGCCACAACAGTGGCACTGAGGAAGGAGAGTGCATCAGTCAGTGAATGTAATAGAAGGAAAAAGAACCGGTATAACAGGACTGTGGGGAAATCACTTCTGGATTTAAAAAGTGCTGTCCTGGGCAGAGCTTGTTTCGAGGGACACTGATAAGGCAACACTAAGCTTTGTCCTGAGCATAGAAACAAATGGAGATATTAGCCATTTTAAAGAATCAAACAAACAGGAGAACTCACACATGGTAACACTTGTAAGATAAGCTACAAAGCTACATGCCCTCACACTCCAGGACTCAAAGCTCACCAGGCAATGGGCCAGGTGTAGACTTCTTTTGCAACTACAGTACTGTGGAGCTTGGTACATTATGCACTAATGTGGCTTCTCCTGAAGCCTCTGGCATTTACACCGAGCTGTGGGGTGCTCCACTGATTCCTTACGGCTACTCAAAACTGTTAGGACAGTTTCCAGACGGTTGTCTCAGCAGAGGTTGAAAGGGAGACTTGCTAGTGCCCTGACACCAGCTAAAATCAAACATGCCTTAAGAAGCTCTGAGTGACCTGAATCTGTGTGTGATGGTGCTCTGCATCCTGGAGGATCAGAACCAAAATCACCAGCAACATCCTTCCTCCCAGCTCAAGGCTCACATACATGCAGAAGGCCATTTTCCAAATTTTTCCAAATTTAATCCTCTCATGGTTTTGGACATAAATGCTGCCTGGCCAGAAATGTTGTTGCTTTGCTTGCAGAAATCCATAGAGGTCTGTTTCAGAAAAAGGGCTTGTGAATGCTTTTGAATTGACTTTACCTGTGGGTAATTACCAACAAAGGAAAACCCACATTTAAAATCCAGTTGTCTCCATCGTGAGTGATTCTAATGATACACCTGTAGGCGGTATTAGGGCCAAAAGCTGGGAGTGCTTACCAACTATTGGTAGGTCTCTTTGCGACTGCCCAGCATGTAAAGGTTGCATTTACACAGATGCTGAGGACCTGAAACTCTTGCAGAAAATGTCGGTTTCTGTGTTTAACTGCTCTCTCCAGACTCCTCTGACATCAGCTCTAAAGTGCCCAGTTTTGTTCAAGTCACCAGCTGAACACAGAATTTGAGGTGGTGCTGCCAGGACACCAAAGGGGCATCTACATGTCAGCCCCTGGGAAGCGCTACAGAGAAAAGGAGACGTCTCTGTGCCTGTCACTGCTGGGACCGCAGGGTGGGCCGATGCCTTTGAGCTAAGGACGACATGAAGAATCTGTATTTTGGTTTGTTCAAGCCTGCAGGTAACTGCTGGAGTGGTTGTGCCCTCCTGCAGCTTGCACCAAGCTCAGTGTGCAGCACTGCTGTTACGCTGTGAGTGGTCCCCAAGCTAATTAACATGGACAAAGGTGCCAAAATCCCCGGGGGGAGCAGGTCACGCTGCTCTTCTGGAGCACTCAGCTACCTGCTGCAGTCACTGCCCTGGTGCACGCTGCGGCTTTTCTACAAAATAGACAAAGAAACACATTTCATCCACAGCTCCTAAGCCTCAAACTCAAAGTGAGAATTGCTCCCCTTACAGAGTCAAAAAAACTATGGTGCCAGAGGTTATGCGAGTTACCCAAAATCACAGAATAGATCACTGGTGAAATGGGACAAAGGAAAGATTCTTCAGATTCTCAGAATGAAGCCTTAACTCCTGGAACATGCTCTGGGATTTAAAGCTTTTTATTGTTGGCTGGTGAAATAACTGATTTTTTTTCTACTCAGGCTATAGTTAGAGAAAATCTCTAATGGTCAAAGCTAATTCAGTGACGTAAGTGGAAGAGTCCAGTTCAAGCACAAGAGTGGAGAGGCAGCAAGAAGACACCTGCATGAAAGATTCAAACACAAAAAAGACTGATGCTTTTTCCCTGTTTTTTTCTTGTGTTTCCTATAGTAAGCTGGTGAAATGCCTACAATAGTCATGATGTTTAACTGGCTTTATTTTAATATAGGTTTGGTCCCAGAGCTGAAGATGGCTTTGAGGACAGCTTGGGACACTATTTTCTTGTATCTCACTCATTTTTTCTCCAATATTTGCCAACTTTCAGCTGTCACTACCTCAAAAGCAATCCTCCAGGTCCTAGACAGAAGTTCTTTTTTGCCTGAGTGAGAGCAGTGACCACATAAAGACTGCAGGATCTGTACACCTTTTTCTTCTCAGATGTCTCTTTGTCTATAGTCATAAATTATCAAACACTGCCATCTTTTAAATAGATAGTTTCCTGTTCTGCTTCTTGTAGGTTAGATATTATCTCCTACAGTAAATCATGAGTCAGTGATTAATTCAAGAAGGCTGTTCCCAGAAGCAAATTCTTACAATGTTAAAAATAATATGATGCGAATCCATTATAGTATGATATAGAAAATAATTACGGCCTGCAAACAAGTTTAATCAACTTAGAACATGCTGGGGCAGATACTCAGTTGGAGTGAGTCATTGTAAGAAAGTTCACAGTCTTAGTGTATAGGTTGTGTGAGTGAACATGATTACCCCATGTCAGCTGAGCCTCAGTAACTCTGTACGTGTGCTCTCTGCACACCCAAATTGTGAGGTAAGACATGTTTGTTTAAAACATCTTTGCTGATGTTTAAACTGTATCAAATTACTATAAAAGCATGAATTGCTTCAAGAACATACATGAAGCCAGTTAAGATGTCTCAGCTGATGAGTGGCAGCTTATTAAGCTTATTAAATTGTGTCGTCTTTATTCCGTCTTAAACAGCTATGCAAAGTCATCAAATATTATAGTCAATGTGCTCTGCCTCCACACAGCGGATGTATCTCGCACTAAAGTGCAGTTTAAAAGGGGACAGCTCACTTGAAAATGGCTGCGATGCAGACATGCTGTTCAGAAAAAAGACAAGAACTCTCTAAAGAATAACAAAACAATCCAAAAGTAATCACAGCTATAGCAAGACACCATTGAAGGGACAGAAAAGTCCATTAGCAGTGCGTGTATTATTATAAACTATCTGATAATTGTTAATAACACTTTGCATTAATATCTTCTGTATCTCAAAACATTCTAAATTCCTGTGGACTAAAGCTTACAACGCCCCAGTGAAGCCTGGTCACCATGGCATGGGTGGGGAGCATCAGGCGCAGAACAGTTAAGTGACTTACACAAGGGTGAATCAGCGGGAGGTTCAGGAACTGAACCTGAAGGCTAGGTCCTCAGCTGATACAAACTGGCACAGCTCCACAGCAAGTGGAAGGGCACGGGCAGTTACATCAGTTGTACCTATGCAGGCCCGATTCCCAGCTCTGAGGTTGAACCTCAAAACCCAGTACCTGTTAAAGATTCACCTGCCTTGAGCTTCTTGGCGGAAATTCCCTATAACCAACCAACGCAGGTTAGATTTCTGGGATGAAAACTCATGGGATGCCACGGGGTCTTTCAGTATCAAGGCCAGTGATGTGGCAAGGACAGGGGTTGCTGCTGTCCCAGGGTCAGGGATGTGTTCTTCCTCCCTTGGTATTGAAGAATTACTGCCCAATGTGCGCTCAAGGTTCATGACAGCTTGGGGTACATCTGCAGCACAGGCAGAGGTAAGACAGCAGATCATGTGGAAATACCTGACCTAGCTCCAGACGCATTCATTTAGATGCTGGTGTCAAACTGCCCACAGTGGCACAGACCTCAAAATCATCGGGCACAAGATAAGTAAATGGCACAAGGCTCTGGGCTGCTGCAGCTACCCTGAGAGCTGTACCCAAACTAGGTAGGCATCACTTCACAAATGTTATACATCAGCTGTGATGCCCTTGTTCTCCTTTGCAAATCTAGTTACATAGTATTGATTGGGTGCTGGAGTGGGGATTTTCTCCATCTTCCTAGGGATGGGTTGTGGAAAAATGCTACAGTTTCTCTTCTTGAAGTCTTGTTTGGGCTGAAAACATGACAAGATCTTGTAGGCATTCACAGCTGGATAATGGAGATTTTCTTGCATGCAGTGCATGGAACCTGGAAACAGAGGGAGCAAGGAAACTCCATAGCTGAGCTGGGAAGTCATTGAGGCCTGGAACTTACCAAATGTAATTTTTAAAGACAAATCACCCTTTGCATTTTAAAAACAGCAGAAACTGCTGTACAGAACTGATGGCTGCAAGTTCTATCAGATGAAATGGGGGCAAGGGTGACTTTTTCAGGTAGTAGGTTTCATTGATTTCTTCTTTTTTTGGGGGGAGATGCTCATCAGCTTGCAAAAAAAACCCTTAAAGACAACCTTTATGTCTTTTGTTAGAAAGAACAGATCCTGAAATTACTTACTTTAGCTATGAATTTCAGATACCTTAGTACAGTATTCTAAATAAGTCCACAAAATGCGTGTGTGTGTGTATGGATTTTCTTTACACTTTGGTAACTTAACCACAGTTCTGCCAATTTTGCTGAAAAGGTTCATGTGAAATTAAAAAGGACCATTTCTGGGTGAGACTGAGCAAAGGAAATTTCAGCCCCAGTAGAAGTTTAAAAGGTAAGAGCATATGAAAAAGCACCTTAGAATAGCCGTTGGACTTCTCTTTAATTATAACTGTCTGACAATGACAAATCATTTTCTTTCTTGGCTGGATTTTAGAAACATCCCCCATACAACCCTAAATAGGTATTGCAGCCATAGCAGAGTCAGTTAAAAACCAAATCCACAGTCCACTGAAGTCAATACAAAGGCACTGGGTGACTTTAGCAGCTTTGGAAATCAGTCTGAAATAAAATGCCTCCCCTTACCAGTGAAGGGAAGTATTCAGTTCCTTTCTTTGACAATGAGGTGCTGTTGATCTCTGCAGACTGATGAGTGACACTGCAGAATCCTGGGCCTGGGGTTTCATTCTAGCAAGGGAAATATCACACGTGTTGACCGAGCTGTATTAGTTACCTCCTTCCCAGGGCAAACGCAACAAGACACAGGCACAGGCTCACACCGATGCTAATGGGACAGCTCCTTTCCCCAGCACAACCCTGCCCTTCACCTTTCTCAGCACAGACCAAAACATACCAACTCCTTTATGAATAACTCTGAGAATGGTGATGCTGAAACAGAGCATACAGTCCATGTGTATCTAAACAACTTTTGACCTTGCTTACAATTGGTCTTACTGGACCTTATGGCTGTGAATTCCACAAATTAACTACTATTAATTATTATTTTTATTTGTATATTTTCTGCCCCAAACAGCCTTCATGGCGAATTACCATCCCAGTTTACAAATTGTGAATGAACATTGTTTGTACAATTCCTTCTTTCAAGTTTAAATTTACTGGGGTTTTATATGACATGGGAGAAGCTCACTATTTATTTTTTCTTAATTATCTCACGAACATTTCAAGCCATTTTATTTGCCTTCTCTCTAAATTAAACTTTTTCAATGTTTTCAGTCTTTACTGGGTCTCTAATGATATATATCTTAAGTTGAGTCTATTTCTGCCCATTTTTTAGAGTTGAGGTGGCCAGAACTAAACTTAATGTTCCAGCTGAAGGTCTACCAGCAGCATAAATGATGGTATTATTATATTTCCTGTATAATTTTCCAAATCATCACTTGCAATCCTGAATTTTATGCTTTAATTGTAATTGTGCATTGAGGTAGATGTCTTCATTGTTTCAAAATTATAATCTTTTAATGCAAGTCTCCTGTTGCATGGAAACCTGAATATTTCTGATTAAGAGGAAGATCAAATTTCTTTACTGTCTACATGGCAATTTGTATAGACTGGGAGCCACAGCAAATCTAAAATCTCACCTGTAACGTCTGAGTTGGGCCTAATTAATTCAGCATGTGGGCAGAATGCATTATTTGCAGTCACCACACCTTTCCTGACTCTGTTCTCTTTCTGGGCTTTTCAAAAAGACGACTGGGCAGGATTCTATTTATAGAGACAAATAAATCAAAACCTGCCTGTGTCACACATGATACCTCCAGCTTTTCAGATGTGGTCCCATGAAGTGCTGAATGCCCTTGGTAGCATGTCCTACCTCTATCAATGCCAGAAAAAAGAAGTGGGACTTGGAAGGTCTGGGACTATACAGATGAAAGAACTAGCTTTGTACTAACATAAATGTGAAATGATTCCAGTATGTAGAATGGAAAAAGCTGAAGTTCCTGATCTTTAAGAGCATTCTACAATTATGTGAACTTCATTAATTGTCTTGTCTGCCAGTTACTGACAGAAAATATTCTGGAAGTGCTTGGAAGTGACTTAGTTCCCATTCTGATGACTTCAGAGTTGGATTCTGACAGTGATCAGATGCCTCCCCAAAAATAATGCATGCATAACAGTGAGGGAAAGAGAATAGGATGTACGGGATTGAAGAATAGGCAATGTCAAGAGGAGAAAAGAAAGTAGTTTGGGCATTATTCCACTCATGTAAATACAATAGGCTGAAGGAAGAGATTTGATTGTGTAGAAGTTTTTGCAGGATCAAGAAGGAGCAGGAAAGATGCAAGGTTAAAAGTGGGGAAATGGAAGCCTGTATAGAATGAGTATATGGTTGATTAAAAAAAACATCATCCAGACAGGACCTGTGCTAATGGTCATACAGCAGCAGCAACCTTGGAATGACTCGCTCCCCCTTAGGAAACAACCAGAAATGGCAGGGAGGAGAATGGAGGCTCTTGCTCTGCTTGGTCTTGCAAAAGAGCAGACCAAAGGAAAGAATAGGTGGGAATGGGCAGGCAGCACTGTCTGCTGAGGAAGATGCTGTTGATTTATAGTGAGATCATGGGCAAATCACTTCACCAGTCTGTTTTTCCACTGCAGCTGAGCTGTTTCTCACTACATGCATGGACAAGTGTAATAGTGCTACTATAGTGCTAAAAATAATAAAACCCAAATATGTGCCACTTCCATTAAAACTGGAAGAGCACTTCAAGGAATTGGACCCCAGGTCTCCAGCTCTTGTTATCTGCACACATAATCCTTGTGGATTTGGCCTTCCTCATAAAAATGCCACCCGAGTTATAAAGCAGATGATCACAATCTTTTTCACATATTTTTCTTTGTACAAAATGCTTCAGGACACACCAAAACCTGAGGTAGGTGATGCAACTCTTGGAATTTCAGCAGAGCTGCTCTGACTTATGCTGTGTTTCAGTTTAGCCCCAGTGTGATACTCCTAGGATGCCAAACTTAGAGGAGATTTCTGAAGATGTGGTCTGAGGGCTTGTCCACATGGGGCAGGCAGGGATCCTGAGCTAGCTATTTTTTATCAAACCCCAGAACCAGAAGCAGAACAGACACTGCACTGCCTTGGTCTTGGTCTTGTATCTCCTGCCACGTGCTTGAAGTTCTCCACCCTGCACTCCATGGGCAAGAGGGTTGTGCTGAGGAAAGCAAGATTGGTCCAATTTGCTAGAACTGGCTATTAAAATTGCAGCAGTTTTCCAAAGCCGCTGATAAAAAACTGCATCTGCAAGCTCCATTCCCTGCTGTTGCCCAGGCTTGGCTGCTCCTGCTGACCAGCCTGCTGAGGTTGGATGGAGTCCCATGCTCAGCCCTGCCCCATAAAGGGGAGTTCCTACTCCAGCAGCACGTTCTTGATTAGTGCCTTCCAGGATAGCACGTGTCGGGGAAACAGCTACAGAGCCCTTCTCCCATCCAGTGCATCCAGCTGTGGGTTTGGCATGCCCATCATCACCTCAGTTGTTGAAAGTAATTTGGAGATTAGACGTCTACACACCCTTGGAAATTTACGTCCTGCTAAAGTGACTGCACACCTCTGTGCCCTTTGAATTGTATTCTGGTAATATAAGGGGGTGCTGAGCTGCAAGCTAAGTCCATCAGAAATACCTTGCAAACCCCAGTGTTCCAGTACCTGTAGGGATGTGTGAAGACAATCGTAAACTGGCAGAGTTACAAAAGTGGGTCAACTCACCTGTTAGGTATTCTAGGTCAGGTAGTAAGAAGCAAATAAGCTCTTTACATTGCCTAAATTACAAGTGGGTAAACTTCATGTACTGGCACTTATCCCTGACTACCCTGCTAAAGGAATGTGCTCCAAAATGGCTTGTGCTGAAGAGGACACAGTCAAGTGCTTTTGGTGGAGGAAACTAAATCAGCACCCCTCAGATGATGTAGTGTTAATGGATCTAATGTTTCCCCTCCCCTACACAATGCACTAACTTTTCTCCCGGGATAAAGCTTAAGAAAGAACCAGCCAAGCCCTTGTGTAGCTTGTGGTCTGGCTTCCTGCCCACTCTGCCCTTCAAGCAGGAAATTCTCAAAGGGAAGGGAGTGCTTTGTGAAGCTACCTCAAGACTCTGCCTTTTCTCTTTTAGTCAGAACTTAGCATCAGGTCATCTGGAACTCCTGGAAGCTGACCAGACAGACTGATGGCGCCTACAGAAGGTATTTAAGCAACTTCTCTACCTTGATCATTTTCCCTCATCTTTTGTCCTTTACGTCCTTGATTGCTGTTATTCAATCCTGAGATAATACACTCCTGATATCACTGAGATGGGAGAGACAAGCAAGGAGGAAGAGATCAAAGGAAGGAGAAGAAAGAGAAGATGCCAAAGGCAGAAGAAGAAAGAGGGAAGATGCCAAAGACTTCCTTAATTTACCTACTTTACATACCCGGTACACAAAGTTTCAGAAATTCTTAATATGCTTAATTTTCAGAGTTCTGGAGTTACCACGTAGTCACCAGACAACAGGAGACTGTCAGCAGGGGCCATGGGCATCCTCTTTCCACCAGCTGAGGAAGTAGCTTGAAAGCTGTATCCAAAAAGCCCCGGAGGCCCCTGGCACCTGTGAGCGTGGCTGAGCTTAAAAAGAAACCCGGCAGAGTGCAGGCTGGGAAAACAGTATGGTTTAAAAATATCTTTCTGCTTCCCTCTGCTGGCCAGATAACAGATGTACCAGTGTAATTCCTCCAAATCGGGGAAGGTTTGGGGTGAATAGCAAAGATAGGAGGGGTCATCTTGTGCTGTCACTACACATGCATTAACTCTTCTGATTTCTTTGAATTTGCTCCTGAATTTCAGAAGAAATGCAGTGTATGTGTATGGGTCCTGGAGAGCTCAAGAAGATTGGAAATGGGACCAGGGCCAAAGCTGGGTGGGTGAGAGGTGGGGAGATGGTAACAGACAAGGGTGCTGTATGTAGAGCAATTTCAAGGTTTAAACCAATAATATTACCATTTCTCATCTTGTTATCAGTTGTGATTACAAAGTGAATTTAACAACCTTGATCTAAGCCTAGTTGCTGTTCTTGTTACAAAACAGGATCATTACGAGTTGCAAAAAAATTCAAAACAAAGACATAAACTTCAAACATTTTTGTTACTCAGTTATACTGAAATCTTTGATTGAGAATTAAACCCCTTTTCTTCTGAGTTTGAGCTGGTGTTTATAAGGACTGAAGGAAATCTTGAAACCTAAAAGGAACAGCCAATGATATAAAAATTCTGAATATGGAGATACAGGAAACATATAACTACAATGCCAGCTTTCATTTAAATAGGATGTGCAAGTTAAATCTGAATCTAACATTAATGCAGTATTCATGTCAAGAAATCAGAAGTAATTTCTTAATTTCCCTATTTTAGAAGCAAAGGGAAAAAAAGCACTTGGAAGTACTACTGTTGAAGAATGGACTTTAAGGGTGACTCAGTGCTGTTAAATTGCTTTTGCAGATTGTCCTCATTTACTGAGTCAGGCATGTGAGTGTGCTTCTGACCAAGGATAGCAGAGGTCTTAAAATGAGCTCTGCAATTAGAGGGAAGCTTAGTGCAGGGAAGAGGTCTGAGTAATTGCTAAGGGCAGGGTTCTTATAGGGGTGGTGTACAGGACAAGGAGTTGGTCAGTGCTGCAAGGAAGCAAACAGCAGACTTTCCACTGTCTTGCACAACACACGACAACAGGGTTGTAATTTGATAGTGTTTCTTATTCCCTTGTGCTGATTTGACCCCAAGGAGAGCAGTGTTGGACCTGAAACACCTCTAACGGGCTGGGGATATAGATCATTTCAGATGCCACTTCCTCTCCCTTTGTTTCATGAACGAATCCTTGCTGTGCTTTGAATGAAAAACTTCTGCATGGTTACGGGTTTCATTCTTCTTCTGTGAAATGATTGTTCCGGGCGCTATTCCTGGCCATTACCTGGTACTGAGCGGTGGTTTTCTGCTTGATGTTACCTCATGCTCCCTGAGTGTCTGCAGACGGGCAGGCATCCGGTACAACACTACCATTTTCTTTCTAACACAAATCAGTCACAAGTATTAACGTGCAGCAGACAGACAGAGGCTGGAAGGACTGGGTTGGTTTTCTACAGAGATGCAACAGGTCGGCCATAACCGTTGTTTGCGTCGTTCCATCACCGGCGGCGGCCTTGCTTACTACAGCGGCTGCCGCCCGCCTACGGGGCGATGGTGAGAGGGGAAGCGGGAGGGAGCCCCGCCGCCGCCGCCCCCCCGTGAGGCCTAAGCCCAGCCCGTCGAGCCGCCACCGGGGAAACAGCCCTGCCCGGGGTAACGGCGTCTGCGAACCCGGTGAGGGAGCGCGGTGCATGCTGGGAATAGCGCGGACCCGGCAGGACGATGCGCGCCGGGGGTGCCTCCCCGCCCCCGGTAAGGTGTCCGGTGTGCGGCTGAGCGCGGCCATGACGTCCCGGTTCACGCCGGCCCCTGCCCGTGAGGCCGGGGACGTCTCGGCGGTACCGGCGGCTGAGGGGACGCGTACCCCTGGTTACCGACCCAACCGCCGACCCCGCGCTCCTCCAATCGCTGCGCCTGTTGCTTTGGGCCCGGCGGCAGGCGCCCAATCGCAGGCGAGCTCTCAGAGCCGCCGCGCGCGGTTGCGCAGGCGCCTGGTTAAGGTGGCGCGGAGGGGCCGCGTTGCGCATGCGCCTTAAGGCGGCTGCGGCGGTAGAGCCCGGGAGCTGTTGTTGCCCTCCCACCCCCCTCCCCGAGTCGGGCAGCGGCCGCGCACACGGGGCCGGCGGCGGGGGAGGGCGGGTTGTGCCGGGGCGGCCAGGGAGGGATGGAGCCCGCGGGGTGCCGCAGTTGTCCCTAGAGCCCTGGGCTGGGGAGCGCCCCTTCCTCCCCTCAGGACCGGGGCTCCGGGAGGGGCCTGCGCGGCCTGGCCCGCAGCAGAGCCCCGCCGCCGCCTCACCCCCCGCCGCGGAACGCGGATCCTTCCTCCCGCCTCCTCGGAGCGCTGCGCCTCAGGCGGGCTCGGCCCATAGGCTGGGCCAGGCCCGACCCTCGCCTGGCAGCCAGTCCCCGGCCCGGCCCCGGACTGCTGACAGGGCTGGCAGCAAATCGGAGGGGCCGGGCAGGAACCGAACGCGGCTCTCGGCCGGGAACCGAAGCTCGGGGCCAAAGGCCCGGCCTCGGGGGCCGAGCGGCGGGGGCGGAGGGCGAGGGTCGCTCCCTGAGGGAGCAGGTGAGTGCGCGGGGCTGGCGGGGGAGGCCGCCTCTGTCCCCTCGGAATTGCGTTTTTTTTTTCCGGAGGTTTTTAGTCGCGAACGAATTGCCCCGGGTCTCGGCTGCGCAGGGCGGCTTGGCCAGGGGAGGGTGTCCTGGGGGGCACCCCCTGCCTTCAGCCAGGCCCTGCTCTGCCCGGGTAGAGTTTCCTTACGATGGAAGGGGGATTTGTCCCCCCAGCCCCTCACAACGGGGTGTTTTTGCCCTTGCAGCTAGGCTGTCGTGTGACCCCAGTTCCCCCCGTGCTGGAAGCACTGGGACAACCCAGGAGTTAAAAGTAATCCCTCGCATGCCAAGGTTGGCCAAGGGAGTTTGCAGTTTGCAGCCTGAGCATGGGATGGGTCTTGCTACCTCAGGATGAGACCACAGGCTGGTTGTCCAGGGTCTAAGTCTAAGGGATGCTGAGCCTGCACCATTTCAGGTAGTTTTTGAGTGGACGGAGGAGGACGTATCACTTGTGAGGATCGCATCCCTGCAATGTCTATACACCAGCATCCCCCTCTATACAAAGAGGGGGATGATGCTGATGTTCCTTGAGGTCTTTGGTGAAGAGCCATCAAAGCACACAGGGACCTCGGGCAGGCTCACTCTGTGCAGTGCTTTCCAGACACCTATGAGTCTGGCTCTAAGGAATTTAGCCTCCAAACTCTGCTCACAGCAATTATACTGAAATGACCTCTGCACGGAGAGCAGCTCTGTCATCCCCAGCACGTGGGGATGGTGTGACTAATGTAATCCTGCGTCCTGAACAAGCAACAGAGGTATGCAGACAGTAGAGAAATTAAAGATGGCTTGGAGGTCTTCAGAGCCTTTTTGATAAGAGCTTTCCAAATGGCAAGGCCTGATGTTAAATGCCAGTTGAATATGTCATTCCTGGGGCCAAGCCAGTTTGCAAGGACTTGTAAAGCAAAGTCTGTGTGAGTTTCTCTGTTTGAGACGTTGAAAGAAGGCATTTAAAATCTTTCTCTGCTCAAATGTGCAGCTGTTAGTTTGATTGCAGGGAGTTTTCCTGTGGCCTATCCTTCACCAGAATTTCATTGCAGGTTTTGTACCATGGAGTACAAAACATTGACCCAATCCTATTGTTTTTTTTTTTTTTTCTTAGTATCACCTTGGAGGAATACAACCTTGCTGCCCCACTGACTGGCTGGGAATACTGCCTCATCTACACTTCTGCCTACAGTGCCTACACTATCTCAGTGTAGCCTGGTGGGGGAAGAAAACCAGTAGACGGGCTACAGAGATTTTTTTTTTTTTTGCATTTCACTGAACTTATTGTTGCTTGTCTAAGAAACCAGAATGGATGGAAAGAAGTGGTACCAACTTACAGACAGGGCAGTTCCAGCAGGGTCCAAGTCTCTTCTTTAAAGAGAAGTTCCAGCATCAAAGCAGCTCAAAAGCAAACGTTCCAATCAATCAAAATGGAAGGAGGCAACAGTCCAAATCTGCAACTTCAGCAACTCCCCTTGGCCACAGCAGAGGTTTCTGTGCAGCCACACACTGACTCCTTTTCTTACAAGGTCAGATTTGTACCCCGGTCTATCTTTAGAAGGCCTTAACTATTAAAGTAAGCTGATAACGCCACTGTATTTTGGTTATTTTTTTTTTTTTTTCAGAAAGTACACTATCTTTGTATTTAGCCATGCCTGGAGGCCCCAGTGTATTCCATGCTGTGTATATAAGCACTGAGAGAAACAAAGAGCTAGACAAAGCGAAGAAAGGATTGGCAGTTAAAAGATGTGGCTGCCTAAAGGTGGTTAGGTACGATAAATTCTGCTAGGTGCCTTTTAAGACTAATCCACACATCAGTAATTGAGATCAGATGTTCTGGTCTGCTGTATATTCAAGTGCTTGAATTTCAGGTGGTCAACCCAGTCATGCAGAGAGTCTGCAGCTGAGATGGGATGTGTTGCTGTAGTTCCTCCTTATTTTCCAGCTGGGAACAGAGCTGTTCCCAAGTAATTTTATTCTGAATCCCTGATTCTGAAGGTGCTCAGAAAATTCTAGCAAGGAGGAGGGCTCTTTTTCACTGGAAAAAGTACTTTGCTGAGAACACAGCCCTAGGTGTGTTGTAAAAGTTGACCAGACTGATGTTGGCTTGCAGGCTTTCACAGTCCAGAAGCCAATCCCAAAGCTGTGCTGCACTTAACGGCTTTCAGCTGAGATGCCATTTCATTCTAAACTGAAGTTGCTGAACCAGTAAACTGCTGTGCTTCTGGCTACACCTGTGATCACACAGTGACATTCTTCTGCCAACTTTACTGTCTGTCGTGGGAAGATCTCAGGTGTTTTTGAAAGAAGCTGCTTGGGTGAATGTTATTTCCATACATCCTGATAAAGAGATTTTTGTTCCACTGATAAGAACTTGAAATCTTAAAGTCCTTGTCTTACTATGTATGAGAAAATCAAGAATGGTATGTTTACTGTTAAGGGAGGAATATGAATGTAAACTTGGTTATCCCAAATCAATCCAAGTAGGTACTAGACTATATCTTGGAGACCAACACTGAAGTGAAAAGTGTTAATGACATCTAATGAGATTTAGACAGTTGTTGGAAGAACACAAGTGCTAAATGGCCTGGCTTAGCCTCAGGCTCTTCTGTTCACTCCTAATGTACATTTCCTTTGTGACTCAGCCTGCTTTACATCCTTTTTTATTTCAAATTCTGTCTTTAGACCGTGAGAATTATTGCTGAGCTGGGAATGCTAATGTAGAAGGGATTGGGAGCTTGCTAGGAGCTGCTACCTGTTGTCTATTATTTTGGGATAACTGGTTTATATAAAAAGCAGCATAAAATTGGTGATAATTGGTCTGCCTCATCAAATGGGCTGTTACCTACTGAACCAGCGGATGTTCTAAGCAGAGAAGAGCAGAATAATTCTTAAGATGTGACCTGCAGAACGCAGAGGTTCCTGCTCCATACTCTACTAAATTCCAGGGCAACAAACATCCTCACAAAAAGAATTTTTCAAAGGGAAGAATGAGTGAATGTGTTTCTGTGTTTAGCTTTATCTTCTTCCCCTCTGAGAAACTGCAAAGAATGCAAATACATGCATACTCATTGAAGTCTCTTGTAGAAAATGTCTGTTAAGGAAAGGCTATCTTTCACCTGAGTTTCACAGATTTAGAATATAGCCATGGGTAACTTATCTGAATTGCCCTAGATCCCTTAGAAAGGGAGGAAGAGAAACAGAGATTTTTATTGTCAGGTGATAGAGGAATGGTTTAAAAGTCTCTTCTAGATTTTGCAAAAAGCCTCAACTTCCTTTGGAGTCTAGTGGCTAGATTTAATATCTATGTGTTTACTTTGTTTTTGCAGGAGAACTTGATTGGTGCATTATTAGCTATTTTTGGTCATCTTGTTATCAGTATTGCTCTCAACCTCCAGGTGAGTGTCATGAAGCAAATATTCATCCTGCCTTAAGCATCTTGCATTAAAAAGTATCAATCGTGCCAAAGCATCTTTGCCTTTTTTTTCTTGTCTAGAAATACAGCCACATCCGTCTGGCAGGTTCCAAAGACCCCCGAGCCTACTTCAAAACCAAGACATGGTGGTGTGGACTGTTTCTGCTGGTGCTGGGCGAACTGGGAGTGTTTTCCTCTTACGCCTTTGCTCCTCTTTCACTGATTGTGCCACTCAGTGCCGTGTCTGTTATAGGTAAGGGGGAAAGAGACAATGGCCATACAAGTCTCAGCCTGCTGGGCATCGGACTGTGATACATAAGTCACTGTTTTTCTCTTGTTTTTTTCATAGCTAGTGCAATCATAGGAATTATATTTATTAAAGAAAAATGGAAGCCCAAGGATTTTTTGAGTAAGTTCCACAGTTCCTTTTCATTTTTCCTCTCCGTTTATAAGCCATGTGACACATAGCATGGCCTCTCAAGAATCATAATTAGAGGGATGGCAAGATCTCCATTAGCTATAGTACCTCTTCAAAGAAATGTGTCATCTCATCCACTGTTTGTTAAAAATGGGGGTTTTTTAATATATTTTTTTTTCCCTGACTTGTGCCAAATCATCTGAATCTTACAGATTTTAGAAATACATGTAAATGCTGTTTGTTTGCAGGATTTGAGAATCTTGGTTTTCTGGGCTGAAGCTGCAGCCTAGGGCCTCGGCTCTGCAATAGTGTAGGTGCAACTGAATCAGCTGAATTTCATATGTGTGCAAGTGTTTGCAGAACTGGGGCATTTGTTCTTCCATTTACTAGAAAACGGACTATGGGCAGTGCCAGGCAGGGTAAACCCCAGATATAGATCTTGTAGCTCCTGTTTGTTTAGCAGATGCTACCTGGTATGAGTGTTTTTTTTTCAACTCACAGCACACACATTGCCTAGGGGTTTTTTAGTTCTAGTATTTTGAAAGTGGGGTATGAAGGACAGAGGAATGAGTCATTCAGAGGACTGTGCATGATGTCATTAATGATCACTGTGCATGTGCGATATTAATTGCGTGCATCCACACTAACCCACTAACATTGTCCTTTTATTTTTTTTTTTCCTGTCCTTTGGTTGCCGAAGGGCGCTATGTTTTGTCCTTTGTAGGCTGTGGTTTGGCAATTGTTGGAACTTATCTGCTGATAACATTTGGACCTAATAGTCATGAGAAGATGACAGGAGAAAATATCACTAGGCACTTAGTGAGCTGGCCATTTCTGTTGTATATGGTAAGATGGCCCATAAAATGTGGGACAGTTTTCTGCTATATGCCTGATTGGGACTTTTATTACAAGCATTATTCCTCCTTGTGGTTACTAGCCATACTTCTTGTACTTGCTAATGAACCTATGCCAGCTTTTCCCAGTGTCAGCTCCACATTGCCTGTGGACACCTGCATGTACAATTTGGAACCCTCTCATTCTTTCTCTGAATTATTCTGCTAGGACTTAAATACCTTTAACTGAAAAGTTTTAAAATAGCTTGCTCTCTCCCTGACCCGTAGGCTTCAGCCTGTGGCACAAGTACTGATGGCAGCTGAAAGCAACTGTTCCAGAGGTGTCCAAATACTGTGCTTGCATCTGGGCTTTTTCTAGACTGACTTTTCTTGAAGCCATCAATCTCTCATTGAAAATCTTACAAAATCTATCATTTTTTAATGGAGATAAGTTTGGCCATTAAGATGGGTGCTCCAGGGATCACTTAAAGAACCTCATTACAGAGGGAAGGCTGAGATCTCTGATGTGCATATTCAGTCAGGATTATCTGATCTGCTGCTTTACCATGAATATAATGACAAAAGTGTCCCAGGTTTCCTGTTCTGCAAGAAGCTATTTGATACCTAATTAGAATCTAAGATCATGCTAAATTTGATCTATAATTGTGCGAGAACCTCATTTTCCTTTGATTTGCCCTGTTGTGTAATTCTGATGTTTGACTGGCTCAGAACACTGTTTCCTGCCGTATACCCCCATATACCCTGCATTTTTAAATATTCTCATTTCTATCTTTTGTAGCTTGTGGAGATCATCATATTCTGCCTACTACTATATTTTTACAAGGAGAAAAATGCAAACTACATTGTAGTTATTCTTCTGCTGGTAGCTTTGCTGGGTAAGTTGATACAGACTTGTAAGATCTTTTAACTCTTGCTTATAACAGTAAACTACAGTAAATTGAAGCATCTATGGCATATAGAGAATTATATTGGTCTGATGCCATAAAATGCACCAATCTACTCCAGAAATGTTACTACAAATTAGATGAAGCTGATACCTTGCAGTGATGTTTGCAATCTTTGCAAATGACCCTTGAACAATGAAGAGTTATTTCCCATAAGAACAAATAATCTGCCAAATACAGAAACTGCAAGTTATTTATTGTTGTTCTTAATTTTAATCAGTGCATGCAAAGCATGGTATGATATCTTACCTATTCAGTGGATGGAAGAGGAGATTTGACCTACAAGAATCTTCTTGGTTCTGGGAAGATTTACTATCTGGCTAAAGAAATGATAAATACTCCGCCATGCCAGTATGTCCCTATTTAAATTGGGAGAGCCTCTGGGCATGGGTTCAACTGATGGTTTTGATATCCTCATAGCCTACAGTGGGATCCTACAGTGACTTTAGAAAGGCTGGGATTTCACTTGTACCTTTCTCCACATTCATCTGTTTTTTTAAGAAACTATGATCAATTAAACTTTAAAAAGGGTGGATAATAACAAAGCAGTGACGTAGTCTGACTTGCTATTGAATCTATGTCACAGTCCTCAGTTTTTGCTATTTATACAGCTTCAATTACTGCAATGTCTTACTTATTTTTTTCTTTTTTTTTTTTTTTTAACCATTTGGGGCTGAATTTCAGTAATTGATGCCTCAGAGGCTGCGTGAATTATAGACAAAGCAACTATTTTAATTCTGAAGGGCCCTGACTTGTGGTTTCAAGAAATGGAAAGGAACTAGCCTCTTTTTGATTCTTGTTTTGCAAACTTCTGTAGCTTTATTATCCAAGTCAATATGGCATCAGAAATGAAAATTTGTATCCTTCAATCATTTGATTATACAACACTGTTTAAACACTTAAAAAACCCACTGTATGCTCCCAGTCCTGTAAACAAGGGAATAGTGATACAGAAAGGTTAAGTGCTTTATTGAAGGTCACTGTGGTGAAGTTTTTGGGAATAAAACTGGCAGGGTTGTTGATAAAATAGGCAGTTTGCATCCCTTGTTTGGCCTGGCAAAAGGAAAGTTCTTGTCTCTTGGTTTTGTTTGCAGCTGCCTGTCATGTACAGAGCAGATGGGCAGCATTTCTGTCGCAGAGCATGTATCAGTGCTTCAACTGAGTCTTGGTAAACATTCGCAGGTTCCATGACTGTTGTGACCGTGAAGGCTGTGGCAGGCATGATTGTTGTCTCCATACAAGGAAACTTGCAACTCGACTACCCTATATTTTATATCATGTTGGTGTGCATGATTGCTACAGCGATCTTTCAAGCAACGTAAGACATTCACTCTATTTTTGTCTATAATTGTGCTGGTTTCGGTGGATCAGTATTTATTGGGCTGTTTGTTATCCATTCTAAGAATGCTGATTCAATTTTAAGAGAAGAATTATCCATTCTTTTCTGTGACCTGTCCTTAAATCCATGTCACATTAGCCTGGGATAGTGGTGATGTTTGCTTTTCCATGCAGTGGCACTGCCAAGTAGTTTTAATCCCAAATATGTAGATGATACGAGTATGTGCAAAACAGTGTTAGGGATGAAATGGTGGCAAATCAAATACAGTGTCTGTGCACTGGCTAAAATCAAAGTGCAGAATCAGTGTTGTTGATGATATGTCTTTTTTTTTTTTTCCCCCTCTATACTTGTAGCAACATAAAAAGCTGGTAGCAGCAAGGATAAGAAGCTGTTCAAAATGTGAGTGACATTCTAGCCCTAAGGTCAGTGGCAGTAATTTCACTGCCTTTAGTAAGCCATAAGGCTTGCTCTTCTATCATTTATATTAATTCCAAGGGATGCTGCTGCAGGTTTAGTGAGAAAGAGAATAAAGTTTCTTAAATTTATGCATCACTTTTGAAAGGTGTTTCCAAAAAGATGACCTGTACTAGTCCATGATAAGTGCTATACAATTTGAGTATCCTTCCCAAATCAACCCCTGTTGTCTGTTATTGTATTGCAGATTTTTAGCTCAAGCCTCACAGCTGTATGACTCATCTCAGATTGCCAGCATCGGCTATATCTTGTCCACAACAGTAGCAATCACAGCAGGTAACAGTGCACAAAACAGTGTGTTGGTCCTTTCTAAAAGTAGGGCAAAAGATTTTGGAAAATAATCCTCACTTACAGATGAGCAAGATGATGACTTGTATTTTCTTGTCATCTCTCTTCTGCAGCTGGCTTTGTTTCTTTTTTCTTTCCAAAAATATGAATTATCCCATTAGACTGTGTGAACATTTTCTGTTAAGTTCTGTCATTTTGTTTAAAGTGCATGAGAACTTAACGTTTGAGACTGTTACTCATACCATGCTAGCGTGTAGAAGAGGAGGGTGATGTGTGCTCTTAGATGTGCAACTTGAATACACAGCTAAAATATCTCGTTGTGTAATTTTATCTCATATTTGTTAAAACGTATGTGATACAGTGTATAAGCATATTTACATCCTCTGTAAAAAGCTGTTAGGATTTTCTTCCTGATAGTCTTCTTTGAGTTGTATCTAGAATGCAGCTGCCCACAGCTTTGTAGGCACTTTTTTTCTGAGTTTACTCCAATTTCAGCCCTTGCCCATGTAGGAAAGGCTCTACCTGCACGAACAAAGATGAACATTTTAAACCCCTTAGGCCTCAAACCTAACAAGCAGCCTTTTTAAGGTTTTATTCTCCTCGCTTAGACATACGAACAAAACCGGGGGAAACAAACAAACCAACCAACCAAAACCCCAACTCTGGAGAAAGTGTGTCACTTGACAGTGATGGGTACTTTCTGTGTAAATAATAATGCTCTTCTAGGTTTATAAGGGCAACAGCTTCCCCTGTAAATTGCACATTGTATTTAATGCTGCTCTTCAATGTCACGAGGGAGTATGGCCCTACTCTCTGGCTCGTGTTTATTTCCTCTCATGTTCCAAGCCATATGCTGCTCTCAGATTCATCAGCTTATTTATTCAACTGCAATAAGAAATGTAAAGAGTAGGAGCCAGAATGCGTGTCCTGTTGACATCCAGGACACTTGTTGTCTTATAGGTTTGAGCTGTATATACTTGCTTGGTGTCAAGAGTTTGTATCCTGTTGTAGTTACAGAGATCCAGTTTTGTTTGTCAGTCAGACTTCAGAAATACAGTCTCTCTTGTTGAGGGTGTGGTGACCACTGCTGTATGGTGAGAATTTGGCTCAGGCTTTAACACTCTGAAGTGCAATAGTTCCAGTGAATTTCCTTTACAATCCCTTACCTTGGTATGGAAAGATCTGTACTGTTTGCTGTGCTGCTGTACAGATTTACTTGCATCTATATTATTTACACCAGTATAACTATTTTTCGTAGTGAAATTATAAAAGATTTGTCAATAAATTGTGTTATGGTAGAAATCAGGCCATCTTCTTCTATTTTAAGATCATAAAAATCCCCAAAGGTGCTGACTATAAAAACAGGGATGTGCCATGATTTTGTTACTGAAGGGACTAATGCTGGAGATGTAGCACTAATTGCTCAAGCAAGCTGAGAGGAAAGATGTCATGATTTATTTCCTTTTAAAGGAGCAACGTTTTACTTGGACTTCACCGGTGAAGATGTTCTCCATATATGTATGTTTGCACTTGGGTAAGTGTTTAAAGTTTCCTTGATAGAAAACTGCAAAGTGTTTCTTGATATTGTCACCAAAATCAGGAATGAAAACTCCTTAATGCCAGGTTTAGCATTAATGAGCAGGCATTGCTTTATTCGTCCGGGGACGTGAGGGAGTCATTCCACCTAACATGTCCACTGCATGTTACAATAGCCAAAGCTTGTATCACTCTGTTACATACATACTCATCAAATTTCCTAAAACTCATTATCGTATTTACACAGTTATTACACATGCAGTTTAGGTCTCTGGGGGGCTTCCATGGGGGTCGTTGGTGGTTTCTAGAGAGGAGCCTTTCTTTGAACTTTGTCTACACTTTGGAATTGGCCTTATGTCTACGCTTGCTTATCTTCTGTCTAGCTTTAGCTAGTCCATTGTTTTTCAGGGGGTCTTAATTTTCAAGGACAGGGGTTTCTCATTAAGAGTTTCCCAGTTTACACATGGAGCTTCTCAATTTCCACATCTCCCAGGAGGTGTTTATCACGCTTGCCTAGCTCAAGGACCTCTTTGCAATGGACAACGTATTGCAGCTGTTCAACTGATTGCTTAAGTTCTTATGCTACCCTAAACATTTTTTTTTTCCTTCACCCATTTTCCAGCAATATGACTAAAATTTTTAAAATATCTATCTATCTATAGGAGGTACATACTGTCTTGGAGAGGAGGCCAAACTGCAAGCACCTTCTCTGTTAGAGCAGACAGTGGCCCATAGAGCTCAGTATCTTGTCTGAGTGATGATGGATGCTCTAGAGGGATTGTAACACTAGGTTATGCATAAGTGCACACCATTACACACTAAACCCCTTACTGACCCTACTGGAGATCAGCCTGGATGTTGAAGCATAATGGGCTGTTTTTCAAGCTATCTGCTCATGAATCTAGAAGAATTGCAAAATAACCAAGAGAAGCCATCTCTAGGGAATGTATTTCAGGTTTTGCACCAAGCCTTCACTGAACTGTGACTGGACTTCTGGTATCCTGTTCCTGAGGGCATGGGCCCTTGAAGTGCAGATAAGATCAGTAAAACATTTGCTGTGTAACTCAGTATTTAGTCCTAGTACAGTGTCTTGATGTGATTAGCTCTCCATTATCAGGGGACACTCTGAAATGTCTTTCAGATTAGTACAGAAAAAAACAATTGGGAACTGTGACTTTCTCTGTCAACATAATGTAAAAATAAAGATCAGCAGTTGTTAGTGTGTTTACCAGTGGGGAACCTTTCAAAGGTCAAGCTGCTAAATCCTGGAATTTCATCAAAGTAAACAAAATTTTGATATGCTTCCTTTCCACTTCAGTTAGTCAAGGTTAATTAATTAACTAATGTGAAAGCTTTTTCCTGCCTTTTGATAAAGAAAAGGTAAAATTGTTCTGATTGCTAGGTGGATTTAAATACTCTTGAAAAGCATTTTTCCCTGTAATTCTGACTTCATAGTTCGTTTGCTTCCAGTTCTGAATTCTTTATGCTACATGTCAGGCACTCGGAAGAAGCAACATGCAGTATATTACCTCCTCTCCCTTTTCAGTTATCTCAGTAGATCTTGTCTTTTCTCTCAGGTGCCTCATAGCATTTCTAGGTGTCTTCCTGATCACAAGAAATAGGAAGAAATCTGTACCATTTGAACCTTACATATCAATGGATGCTATGCCAGGTAACAGTAAAAATACAGCAGTTTATCAGTCTTTCAGTTTTAAGTGTTGGGCTTCACAGTGAAAGCTCAAGCTCTAGGCTCTGTTAAGTATCTGGATATATCAGGTGGCTCTGTTTTCTAGTTTTTTTCCTTCTTTTGTTTGTGTGTGCTTTGTAAGGGGCACATGGGTGTGTTGCATGGAACAGAGAGGTGATGTGCCACTTGAATGTCACTTATGCTGGGTCCTCTGACACTGGGGGGGGGGTGTGTGTGTGTGTTATATTCTGTCAGAACAGCCTTGTCCAGTTGGCTCCTGTCTGGGAAGATGAACTAGTTTTGTGCATATCCTTGGGACTGGGCTTGGTCTTCATCTAGCAGGAAGAACTGATTACTGGGGAAGGCTGAGATACGTTGCAGGAGGTAGAGGCCAGAGGGAGCAGAAGTTTCTTTTGAAAAGTCCAGCTAAACATTCTTTCTAGTGAGCTGTATGAAAGATATGCAGGACTTGATAAATAACTGACTGCCATCCCTCATTCACTTGAATCTTATTTCTCCATTAGTTGCTTTAGTGTTTAGCAGGAAAACGTCTTTCATTTAACACTCAAGGAACTGATGAGCCACATAGCATGAACACTGGGACTTTATAATTTGATGATTTAAGAGAGTGCAGGAAGAATTCACCTTTGTTCCTAAGCATTTAATCTCTGTCTTTGCTCTTTTCAGGCATGCAGAACATGCACGATAAAGGGATTGCAGTTCAGCCTGACCTCAAAGCTTCTTTTTCCTATGGTGCCCTAGAGAACAATGACAACATGCCGGAAATTTATACTCCAGCTACATTGCCGATTGTGCAGGAGCAACATGGTTCCAAAGGAGTTTCTGCCCCACCCTACCGGGTGCTGGAGCACAGCAAAAAGGAGTGAGTGACCTTTAAGGAACTGATTTAAATCATCAAAAGTATGACCTTTATTTATTTACCCACTAAAATATAAGCAAATGTAAAGCCAACCTTGATATACTTTAAAGCTTGTCTCAAACTTAACTTTCAAGGCTGATCATTAAAATAAACAACTCTCTATAGTTGTGACGTTGAAAGCATTCATCTTAGCAAGAAGTAAATCACAGTTCTCCATTGAAGGCTGCTGTCTGGAAGTGTGAAACGGTGAGTGCAGTACCATGGCAGTATGAAACCGATGAGATAATAGATGCTGTGAAAACGCAGAGATGTGTGAAGAGAAGTGATTGGGCAATTTTTAGTCCTGCTGGGAGTGGGTTTATCTCCAAATAGAAGTTTTCAGGAGGTGCTCACAGAGAGAGGAGGGCAGGATTTAATCTTTCCTATACAGAGACTGTGGCGGATTTCCAGAAAATGTTGTAAATCCTCATGTCTCTAGCATGACCATCAAACTACCTTAACATGGCAATAAAATGTGATTGTTTTCAAGCACGAATACTGAAACTTCCTGTGTCTTTAGAGCAGCATGTTTTGTTAGAGAAAGCAAGCTACTTTATTCCTTCAAAACGTGAATCTTGGGCACTTCCTGTACAACTGTTCTCTGACTAGTGTTGAACATATGCACTGAGAATGTGACTTGTTTTCATAGCACCACTGGATTATAAGGCAGTTTAGAACAAAGATGACTTGCCAGTTTTCTGGTTTCATAGCAGGACCTTCAAGCTGGATTAAATGGTGCAAAGGGAACACTGTAAAGTATGAGAACCAGAAGAAATGAGAATAGTAATGTGACTGGTATCTGGTGGGAATTTTTTGTAGTTCTTGATGAGGTCCTAATTCCCTATCACTCTTATTTTCTTTCTGGTTGAGGCAGGATTTCCAATTTTGTTTTGTGGCCTTAAAGGTGCTGATATTCCTTAGGTAAAAAGCTCAGTCTAGGTGGTGTAGGCTGGGGTCCCCCCTTTTTTACAAAAAAAAAAAAAAAAAAAAAAAAAAAAAGGGAAAAAAAAAAAAGATACTAGTCTAATATTGTGAATGACCTAAGAAGAAAAAAGCATACACAGTCCAGCACTCAGTGAGGGCTGTAAGAATAATAGAGCATTGTGTACTCATGATACTTATCTTTCCAGCTTCCAAGAGATGGCTACAAGTTGATATGAAGAGAGAATAGACACAAGGGGGGGGAACTGTCAAGTAGAAAGGACAAAGTACAACATATACTGGCATATGCAAGTTATACTGGCTCTTTGATATCATCATCTTCTCAAAAAGCCATTGTTTTGCTGGGAAATAGAATTTTAACTCTACTTGGTGTGTCTTGGACTGTATGCATTATGGAGTGTCTCCAGGACCTTAGAAGACTTCATTTGAAATGAATAGTGCTTGTGTTTTGTACATTTTTAAGTGGTTGCTCTGATACCAAGGGGTTTGGGAGGATCTTGGACTTGCAACAGTGGCTTTCTGTGCTTTTTTTTTTTTTTTTTTTTTTTTTTTTAAATTGACTCCTGGCCAGTTTCTGTTCCCATTACCAAAAATTCCCAAGAACTCCACTGATTTGTATATAGTTATTCCATATTCTGCTATTGTGTATGACAATAGAACTGTTCTTTTGCACATGTTTGTCTTGCCAGCTATTGAATACTAATTCAATCTGGAAATACTTGAGATTGCTTTGGCATTTTTGTGCAGCTTAGAAAAATTATAACCTTCCCCCCTGCAAAGAGTAGATGCCTGGTGGCTGTAATGTGTACCTAAATGTGAAGTTTCTTCACCAACTTGGCATGTCTGACAATTCAGATCTTATCAGTGGCATCCCATACACTACAGCTTATGAAACCTCAAGAAATAAGAGCTTTTCTTTTTACCCTCAGTACTTTTTGTGTTTAAGTAAGATAACAACGTTAATGGACTAATACTGCCAGAACATTAATCTTGTTGGATTGCAGTGACACTGATTTACTACCTTTGGCTTTGTATCCCCAGTAATCAATTGTTTGTGAATTTATGTGCAGCATTTGTTCATTAACAATACAAAACAAAGTAGTACAGGGGAGGCTGAATGAGAAGGGTACAAGAATGCTGGCTTTTCTTATCTCTTCCCTTTTAATCAATGAGGCAATAACTGTTTTGACCTATTAGGTCTGAAACCACAGAAACATACTGTTTTAAAACAAGCTGTGCTAAACCATGCATAGCTACAAACTCTTCTTTTTACACGGCAATATTCTGTGTGTAGTTATTACAGGTGTTGCTGTGGTATAAAATAATAATAAGAGCCTAAATGTTTTGCTGTTGACTCCTACTATTAGGATGGTCCTATGTGTAGCAGAATGTAGTTTTCTCAGGTTTTAGTTTTTCAGTAGTATTTAAAAACTACAATTGACTGGTGTGCAGACTTTGCAGCCAGTAAATGGCTGGTTAAGTTTTTCTTCTACTCATGGGACCTGACATGATGAAAGACACTGGGGAGAGAGCTATTCTGATGCAGAGCCCCTGCTTGTTTTTTTCTTTTGTGGGCTGCTCTTTGGCCTGATTCAGTGATTTTTTTTTTGCAGTAAGCTGCCTGGATTCTCTACAGCCTGAGCACTGACTGACTCCTGGCCTGACCTTCCTCTCTGCCAGAGAGCCCTCAGTTGTCAGCGCGTGGCTGTCTTCTGCTCTGAGTGAAATTTCCTCCAGTCATAACCTGAGCCTTTGTATTATTGTGCTGGTTTGGCCCTTTTCTTTCAAAGACTATAAAGGCAAGAGTCTTGTTCCAAAGCTTTATATAACCATGTTTTCTTTACACAGTCTGTGTGTGTTTAAATAATTCTACTTAATGATAGTTCCCTTTACCTGCAGTGAGACTTGCTTTTGGAAACTTCCTGACAACGGACTCCAAGGGAGGTGATGGCTGTTTCTACTGCACGTAAATCACAATATTTTTGATTACTCAGTTGTGACACACCAGTAGAGCCTGAGGTGTTCCTTGGGCTGTAGTCCTCAACTCCATGCACTGATGTTGTAAGGGTTTTGTTTTTGCCAGGCTGGGTTAGCCACTGTAAGCAAGGTTGTAGGACCACTAGACTGCACCTCGCTCCTTCTTGCTGCCTGTGTTCAATACTTGAATTTTAAAATGTGGGGCGTTTTTTGTATTTTATGCACTTCCCCCTTTCTTTCTCTTTCTCCCAAGCTTCCAAAAGATTTTATTTTCTGCTCTTTAGCAGTCTTACAGCTGCCATCTCTGTTGCTGAGAAGGCATGAATAGGGCCCCTAGAAGCCAAACATCTGTTTAAACTTGACTTTGGGACTTCTGTGCTCATTCTAACAGTGGGAGGGTATAGCTCAGGATTAAAATAAACTCCTTACCCCCCTTCTAGTTCACAGCTTACAAGATGAAAACAGGAAGCTATTTGTACCCTCAAGTCTACACTTTTTACAGAGTATTTGTTAGTCTGAGGTGACGATGGCCATGCCAGGGATTGCAGTGAACATTTACAGCTAAACAGCACATGAAGGTTTAAAGGAGAAGAGCCCCATGCCACATTCTGGTCCCTTTTGTAGCGTGAAAAATAATCTGTTGGTGTACAGCACACTTTAATGTGTGTATGTCAAAACTTCGGTTTATCCAGGGCTGATCTGGAGAGAGGCAGGGCACTGTGAACAGCAGAGTGTGCTTACCTTTCCAAATGTGCAGCATTTTTTAGAATCAAGAGCTGAAAAAGTATGCACAAAAATCAACTGACTACTGTCGCATTTACTAAACTGGTAGAATAGCTCCTTGACTCTGTCTTCTAGCTTCTTTATCAAATGTGAACTGACATCTATTGCTTCCATGCTGTGTGGCTTTTCAATGCACCAGAGCACTTAATACATTCTCAGTGTATATCTTACATGTAACTTAATGCTGTGGAATACAGCTTCTATGTTGGCTGAATGTACAAAATGATCTGCCTACAACGTTCCCTTGTTCACATTAAAATGTGTAAATAAATCAAGCTTTACAGTATTGGACTATGAAGATAACTGCTTAATTTTTCATAAGCAATGCTGCATGTCTATTTAATTTTACTTGTCCTTTAGGTGAGACCTTTGGAAATTAACTTAATAAAAGATTGTGGAAAAACCTGTAGAATTCTGGCCTGTTCCATACTCCTGGTGTAGCTTTAATCGACCATAAATGTCTTGAGAGAAGTTAAGACAGAATTTAGTTTACTACTATAAATACTAAGTGCATTCAAAGAACTGTCTTTTTTAACAGGATACTTGCAAATGAAATGCAGATTGCTGCAACTCATGTTTGAGGCTGCAGCATTACTAATGCTTGCCATTTTACATGAGTCTCTAAGTATTTGGTGTCAGCTTTAGGAATCATGCAATTTACTTGCAAATCTTAGTTTTACAGGTTTGAGTTTTTTAAAAAAAAGTCAGCATTCATTATTTTGGAGAGGAGCTTGAAAATGTGATCTAAGTATAGCCTAAGAAGGCGGGGGAGACACACAAGATGAACCAGATCACAGAACCAAAAGCATTATACCTGACTCATGATTTTTGCATGCCTGCCAACTCAATACTGAAATTGAGACAACAGCATGGTTCTCTGAGACAGCAAAGACCTCTAATACTAGTTGGGAATGCTACGCTGTAGGAGATGCCATCCTTCAGATACAGGATATCATGTCGTTGATTGCAGTAGACAGCTTAAGGGCATTTCCTAACAATGCCATTAAGAGATACAGACGGTCATAAATTTAGAATACTGGCAATGTAGCTTAATTGAATGCTTGCCAACCTAATTAACACTCACCATATGGGTTTTAGTCCAGGGGGATAAGCAGAAGATAACCCTCAGGATACTCTTAATTAAATGTATCTCTTGGGGTCCCAAACCACAAACGGAGAAAAAAAAAAAAAACAACAAAAAACAAGAGCAGCCTTACGTACTTTTCGGTGTTAAAGCTGCACTCCATAGCAGTCCCTGGACACAAGTATTAAAACAGTGGCTAGCACTTCTGTGAATGCTTGCAGACACAGCATACTTAAGCCCCAGAGTTTCTGATAAATATGGTAATACTTTGTTAACATCATTTAAGGGTTAGTGTGTTATCAGAGACAACTGTGTTAAGTGCTAATATAAAGTGGTGGGAATTGAGCCAGACGTTGGGAGCATTACAAAAATGTATGCTACGGAAGAGGTGTTATTACAAAAGACAGAGTATTTAAAATGTTCCTGAAATGGACACAAATGTTGGGTGTTTGTGGTATTAAAGCAGAATATATTGCTGGCTAGGGAGGAAGAACATGGTATTGAATTAATAAAGCATGCGATTGCAGCAAGGAAAGGCTAAGGTAATTGAGACTGGCCAATTACTGCATAAATTTGCACTGCATCTAAATTGCAGAATCCCTTATCTGGACAGGTAAGACTGATCTTACCTTTCTAAAAGTGAATTCTGCTATGCCATTTTCTTACAAGGAAAAGGGTTGTGCTGTAGACAAACAAATTACAAGCCTGGTAAGGATGACCAACTTAGAATTAATTTCTACCTTTTTTCTGTGCCTAAACTTTAGGAGAAAGCATTTCAACCACAGAAATTTTACGATTTATGTCAAAAATCATGTCTTCTGGCTTTCCAAGTGAGGACAAAGCTGCTGAAGTAAATATTTTGTCAGTGAGATGTAATAGTTTTGCATGCTTTTTGTGCAAAACCTAACACAATCGAAAGAATGATGTTTGTGCTTTCTTTAGATGCAAACACACACAAGCATTCATTTATCACTGACCACCGTCTCACATCATCTCATAGCTGGATTAAGCTATGATTTACTCTGAGAGATGAGGGACACAAACTGTCCCTGTTCCCATCTGGCAACCGCCCGAGCGCGTCCGCCAGCTGAGGCCAACTGCAAGTAAAACCGATTAACTTCGGCCGCCATGGAGGAGCGTACGTGGGCCTTTCGCAGCAGCAATCTGCCAAGCACAAAGCACGGCAGCACAGGTGCTGTGCTCCCGCTCAGTCCCACGTCGTCTTCTCTGGCTTTAGCCTTCAAGGTCACCCAAACGTCCTGCTGGGACACCCCGAGGCGCTCTGCTGCCAGGTCTCCAACAGCACTCAAAGGCTGTTAATTAAAAACATGGAAGAAGCCTCTTGCCCTCCATGCTCCCTTTTGCCAGCAACTCAGCTGCTGACTGCATCTCCAGAGGCAGTGCCTGGAGCAATTTGCAGCTTTTGAGTCAATTCTCATCTCCCTCAGCTCATCCATTCCCACGGGGAACCCTGCAAAGCCTTTCCTCGAGGCCAAGCAGACGGTGGAAGCCCGTCGCCTCCTCAAGGATGGATACCTGTAGAACACCCTTCGCTTCCCCAAAAGCGCTTCGTGCCCTTTGCTGTGGACCACCCCACCCCGCCCGGATTCCATGGGGTGTGTGTGGGGCGGGGGGGGTGGAATTACGCCTGAAACCCACCGCGGAGCAGCGGGATGGAGGGCAGCCCCTCACGTGCAACGAGATGGCCGTCCCGCCACTACCCCTCAGCGCGGGGACGGACCCGGCGCATGCGCAGAGTCACACTCACACACTCCCCCCCCCCCTTCCATCCGGGTCACCGACCCCCCTCCCCGCAGCTCCCTCAGGCGCTGCGGAGGCGCGAGGGCGCGCGCGCAGGCGCGTTCCCGCCGCTCTCGCTCCCGCTTCCGCAGCCGCTCGCTCCGCACGGCGACCGGCGGGGAGTGCGCGCTCCCGGCGCGGTGCCCCTATCTCCGCCGCTGCCGAGGGCGTCCCCGCACAGGAGGATTCGGTGAGCGCCTCCGCCGCCGGCAAGCTGTTGCTTCCACCGTCCCCTGAGCCGTCCCTTCGCCGGGAGTCCCGTCCTGAGGTGAGGCGGCCCGGCCCGGCCCGGCCCGGCCCGGTGGCGGCTCGTTGGGCAGCGCCGAGCACCGCCCGCCGCCTCCCGGGCGGGTCCGTGAGGGCGCGGTGAGGCCTGGCCGAGCCCGCTCGTCCCGCTGTGCCGCCGCTGCCCGCGCCCTCCGCGGCTGCCGGGCGGCGAAGTTGTTTTCTGCTTTGCCGCTTGCTCGTTAGGGGCTTTGGGTTGTTTTGGGTTTGCTTTTATTTTATTTTTTAATTATTATCCCAGAGAGATGTCCTGCTTCCACCCTGCTGTTCATCACATACCCAGTTAACTCCGGGTGTTGATCTCTCAGCCCCGTTAACTTGCCCGGAGCGGCTCCCCTGAGTAGAGCAGGGTTTGCAGCCTTCTGCGGGTTTGCAGGTTTGAGCCCGAGTTTATAAACTCCTCAGAGCAGATTTGATTGTTTATGTGGAAATTGCCATGCCGTTTTTAGTCCTTGTGTTCGGGTTTTTCGGGAAGCGATCCTGTTACAGCTCCCTGGAGCGATAGGATGTGATAACGCGAGCTGCTTGTATTTCAGCAGTCCAAACGATGCAAAGGTAAAAAAATACCAGTGCTGTCTGTACTGATGCTCTGATGAGGAACTAAAGCTCTCAATGTCAAAAGATGCATTTCTACATTTGTTTAAATTTCACAAGACCTTAAGCTTTTTATGAAGTTAAAGAGTTTGCTTTTAAGTGTTTCAGATGTACCTGTCACCTGGTACTTAAATGATAAGCAGGTATTCATTCTCAGAAGAATAAAGGATTTGGTAAAAGGTCTTATTCAAGTGGCTTTAGTTCTTGGGATCCTTTTAGTCCTGCTGTGTTACAGCCATTTAATCTAAAATCTATCAGGGAGTGAGTAATCAAGTAGTTTGCTAGTGAGTAATGTCAGTTGTCTACACAATGAATTTGCTTATAATTTTGAATTGTTTATTGCAGTTATTATTACTGTAAGAATTAGCTGACTGTAATAAATAGCTAGCATTTGTGTATTTCCATTCATACCAGACTACCTTATAAATAGGTACTTCTCAACTTTCCAAGGATGTAAGTGAAGTAATGCCCTTTTTGCATAGGGGAAACTGAAGCAGGGCAGTTTGGCTCTTGTATTGATAATCACATGCGTGTACCTGTCAAGCTTGGAATATTTATTTTTCTGGCTTTGTTGCTTTTTGATAATTGCACAATGAAATAGTTCTACCTAGTCTGTACAGTACTGTTTCTAACTACTTCTTAATTAACATTTATACCTCAGTCTTACCTGTCTTATTTCAGGGAAGCTATTACGTATTCTTGCATTGCTCAGTATCCATGGTGTTTTGATACTGATTTGGGTGAAGTCAGGAAAAAAGTAATCGGTGAAAAAAATAGAATCAATCATGTAGGATTATGATTTTAAAAAATAAGAACTGTGATGCGTTCTTATTTTTTAAAAAATCAAAACATAATTGAAGTAGCTTTGCTAGTTCAGTGCTCTCTGCAGAAGCTTTTCAGATTTTGTTTTTATACTAGCAAGGAATACCATACTGTAAATTATACAGAACTGTTGATCTTGTTGCTGAAATGTTTCCTTAACTTTGACTAAGATTGCTTCTAATAAATAATTTCCCCTGCAGACTGTTTGCAGGAATTCAAAGGAATAACTGCATTGTCTTCTGCAGCTTAATAGTGTACAAATTTCTACTCTTGTTTTCTAAGGGGACAAGATGATTTTTGGTAACTTAATTTTTGTTGCTGGTTGAGGAAAACAAATCTACTTCATTGCAATAGGGATGTTTAAACTGCTCCAGCTTTCCAGTATCGTTTACGCACGTCATTTGAGACCCGCTGCCTTTTTACAGAACAGAAAATATCATCCAGTAAAACATTTTGTTGCTGTATTTAAATGTTACAACATGATAAATTCATATATAATGAAACTTGAAGCCAGTGAGGCTGTTTGCTGTGTGCAAAGCTGGATACAGTGTGCCTAGACAGGTTTGTGTGTTTTCATTAAGATTCTTAAACTTCTTCACAGATCTGAAGAGCATCTCTTCTGTGCAATAATGCATGCCTATGCAGGATTGGGTGTGTTTCATAATACCACAAATTGCTGTGGAGCAAAAAGCAGTATTTTCCTCATATCAAGGATATTTACACTGTAAAAGCTTTACAGAGGTCTCTTGTGGTAAAGAGAAGACAGGCCTACAGTACAGGATCATCAGGGCTGTCATCTCAGCTGTGTTTCTGAGCAATCCTGCCTTGGTGGTTTGCTTTAATCTGTGTGTGTTTTGTAGGTGGGAATGCACAGGTAGACAGTGGTAGTTGTTGATTGCTTGTTTCAGATGGAACGGGACAAAATGAATTGGGGGACAGATGACTAAAGGTGTAGGAACTGCAAGCTTAATTTCTTTAATGTTAAGATGGTAACTAGACAGTTTAGCTTACATCTGTTGACCAGTTCATGCATGGTGAAAATCATAGTGACCTTGCAGCCAGCACTTTGTCTACTTGATAGGTTACTTGAGTCATTTAATGTTATGTAAATTAAATTATAAAAGAAGCTAGATCTTGTGGCTTTTGTGTTGGCTTTTTTTTTTTCCTTTTTTTTTTCTTCCCATCCTCTCTTACAGTGTATGTGGTATTTCTGTGATATCTGAGCTCCTGGCATTGTTTGCAAACATTTCAGTTGTTTGTTATTGATCCCTCTCCAGTTCCTAAGTTGTTTGGCAAAGACCTTTCCTTCATTGTCTTGTTTTCCTGGCTGTCATTCCTGCCTTTTACTGCTCCATCTTTTGTATGCTGTTTCCTTTTCACTTATAAAATTGCCCTGTTTTCTTATACCAAACAGAAATTGAAGTAACATGAATGTCTTTTTTTCAAAATACAAAATAACAGTTTCAGATCTTCAGAACCTCCTCATGCTGGAACTTTGAACTTAATTTTAATTCTCTGAATTACTTTAACGAAATTTGGCAAAAGAAGGAAAAAACAGAATTTTTTTTCCCCACAATGCATTCTTTATGTCTTTAAGTTGGTGTTTTGGAAAGTGTCTTGTATTGCTCTTTTTAATAGTATCAGTTTTTATTTTCAAACTGATATTTGCATACTTGTCTCATTGGTGTGTAAAAGATGGTGTCTATTCCGGGAGCCTATACAAAGTCTCATTGTACAAAATATTAGCCAGAAATGCAGAGTTTGGGTGTCTTATTTGTATGAATAAAACCCCAGGTCTGCCTTCATTTTGTCCATCTCTTTGCTCATTTTTTTCCGAGGTGCTGTTGCTCTGTGCTAAAATACCAAACAGAGGAACGTCTATGTGGTCACTGCAGTGTTTCCTGTTAGTAATCTGCATATTGCAGCTCCTTAAATGACATAGTAGGTGATAACAACTTTAAAGGAGGAGTAATGGATGCAGTTGATAAACTGTGGGTTAAATTCTCTCTCATTTTAATTGTGATGTCTGATTCCACAGTACTAACAGAATGAAGAGAGGAGTACTACTGCAGGCACAGTGTAAGTCACAGTAATTATGTATTCTGTTAATCTTATTTTCTTGATGCTTTTTCCTCCCTTCGATCTGCTGCTTTGACTTCATTTTGTAGTGTATGAGGCTCAGACAGCCTGAACTTTTCAAAGTTCTTTGTAGCGTGGCCAACTTGACCAAATTTTATGTTGATCTGTATGTTACCTTACTTTCCTGTCTTATTCACTGGTAATTTAAGTCTTTGAATTTATGTGCCAGCATTCCCAAACTCTCCTTTTTCTGTGCCAGTTTTGCTTTCTTGCCTTCTTTGCAAGTCTTCTCATTCTTTCATTTGTCAAAACCAGGGTTTTGGAGCAGTCCTTTGAGTTAGATGTTTCTTATTGTGATCTGTACTCTCCTCTCTGAGGGGATGCTTGGGGAGGTAGGACCAAAACCAGGATAAGGCTAGCACGTTGCGCTCCAGTCTGTCTGCACATAGCTTGGCTTGATTGTAGGTGTCTGTGTCCTGTTGCATGTTGGATTGATTAGCCCAGAACTCTCTGAGAGTCTGTGCTGCCAAGCCAGATGGTGGCTTTTGTTTTTACTGTGTTGGCGTATTTTCTTTTCCTTTTCTCTTTCCTTTTTGCATGAATCAGCAAGCATAAAAAAATCAGTTTCCACCAGCTCCATGTTTTCTTGCACTTACGTTCTTCTTTCTGAAGAGGAGTGTTTCCTGTGAAAATTTTGAAACTTGACCTGGGAAAATTTAGCCAGGTCTGTGTGTGACTTTATAATGGTTTGACTAAAGGCGTGACAGTGAGCGGGTGCAGTTGTGTGTGTGTGTGCACACATTGCTTCAGACAGCTTTTTATGTGTCCACACTGAGGTTACATTGATGTAACTCATTTAAGTTAGTGTCACACCTTGTGTGTGTGTGTCTAAGTAGTTTATAAATATTCAAAATAGGTTTTTTTTTTTATTATTATTTTCACGTGCTGTTTCTCCCTAAGCCCAAAGTGTTGAGAGTGTTTGGGTGATGTTAATTAGAAAACTTGTCTTAAATCCTTTCCCATGAGTGAGCATGGATTTATTATGGATTTTTTTTAATGCATATAGGTTTCAATTGATAGAATTTCTCTCAGTGACTGCTTCGGAAGAATAAGCTAGTTAAGCAAATACTCAAATGAGATAATTGCCAGTGAAACAGATTATATTTACTCACCTTTTTATTAATGCTACATCACAAATTAACACCCCCTCCAAATCTAGGTATAGTACAATTACATGTTTTCTGTCATTTACATTAGAACATACAGTAGCATGATAACCTTGTCGTGACTTTTGCAGTGATAGGTGGCAAAAGGTATGCTTCATTAAAATATCTTTTTATTGTGTAAAAAACTGTTTACCTGAAGTCTTCTAGTCTCTTGCTTCTTTGCATTTGTTTTTTTTTTTTTTCTCAATGTTTTTACTCAAGACAATAAGTATTCCCTTACCTATGGGAAAGGCATTCTCCCATGCTTAGGGGAGAAGGAAATCTCTGTACATTAGGAAATCTTATGTTTTGTTCCCATATCAGCCACTGACTTGGGGAGGTTTTGGACAGATGATTTAACTTTGCTGTATACATACGTTCCCATTGATGAAATATTTCTTCAAATACCAGAAGACTACGATTACTTGGGAAGTGCATTTAAGTTATTAAATAAGAAATTGCTATTAACTGAAAAGTGTGACATGAAAAGCTTCTAGAAAAATATTGTAGTTCTTGATTTATGTCAGAGTAAAGGGAGGAGAAATTTCATTTACTTGAGTGAGTGACTTCATCTTCCTTCTCATAGATTGAACAGCAGAGTTTATCCCATTTACAGAAATGAGATACAGTACTTCTGTTTTGTGGATGAGAAAACAACTTTCATGTTGATTTCTATTCTTTGTAAGATTGTTTGCCTTAAAGAACAGTCAAAGCAAGAATATCTGGTATCTTAACATTCTGTTCTGGTTTTGTTTTTTGGAATGGCAGACCCCTACTAGAAACTGGAACACAGAGGAGAGTTGCTTTGCGTGAATGATGCTCAGAGATACTATGAAGTCCTGGAGTGACAGCCAGTCAGACCTCTACAGCAGTGACCAAGAAGAGGAAGAACAGATGATTTTTGGAGAAAATGAAGATGATTTGGAAGAGATGATGGATTTAAGTGACTTGCCTACCTCACTCTTTGCTTGCAGTGTTCATGAAGCTGTGTTTGAGGTACAGGAAGAAAAGGTAATGTAGAGAGGGGCATATTTTTTTCTCTCTTTATCCAAGCTGCCAAATTCAAGGGCAGATGTAAACGTTTTATTATTATGTATACTACATGAGTGAGGGAAAATAGGAAAGGCTGATATGAAAGCTTTGGTCTGCAGCTTCTTTTGCAGTTTCAGTTTACAGAAGTACTTACAAAACCTACAGTTTTGCTGAAAAGTGTTCCATGTCTGAGGGAAAGGTGTGATGTCATAGGAAATGCTGCTCTGTGCCTCAGAGTTGCTAAATTGTGTACTTATTTCAGTCAGTCTTTCAAGTACTTGCTGTGAGCTGAATTCCTAAGCCAGTGCTGCTGGCAGTTGGACATAGTACATGCAGAATAAAAGGAGCGGTGATTCCTTGAAACATGCACATGGTGTCTCATAAACAATATGTAGAGCAGCTTACAGATCCTCTTTTGGGCAGGGGGGACAACATTACATGATGAGAGCTGTTCTTCTCAGTTCTTGTAATCGTATACCTATGGGTGCAAAAGACAGGTGCCAGGAAAGGCTGTTCAGTCTGTAGTGGCTTATTTTCAGATGCAAGGCATTATTTTTTCTTGTCTGTGATTTATAGAGAGAATGAGATACAGTTCACTAGACATTATTTATATGCCTGGTGTTAAAGGCATCTCTTCAAAGAGCATGAGTTGTTGCTAGCCTCGGTGGAAGAGTTAATTTCTGGCCTTGTATATTAATGCTGTTTTTACTGGAAAACAAAACAGGCAATGCATATGAGTATGTAAATCACAGGTCATCTAATTAAAAAATGCAAGATGACATCTTCCTTTCTAGATAAATTTTTTAACTCGCTGATGACTAATTTAAATCGTTACTGTTTCCACTAGATCAGCTTCTAGTTCAAAAGAGTTTTGTAAGCGCAGGGAGCACTCCGATTGTTTCAGTGGTTACTGCCTTTGGAAGAAGGTAGTAAAGCATCAGTTGATCAATAGAACATTAAATAATGCACTGGACAAATTTAACTCGGATGCTACAGGAACAGCAGTGCCACATAACTCATTGTACATTTGATTTAGAAAGAGTGCACTGGGAATATTGCCTTGCTAAATTGTTTTGCACATGTCTACATATGATTTGTCATTTTAATGCACATTTGCTTTTTTCCATGGAAGAGTGTTCCCACAGTACATCCATGCATACAAGGTATGTCAAGGGAGATATGCTAGCCTTTTCTCTAATGATAGTGGGATAATCAGTTGATACATTAAACCACTTGTAAATTTAAAATTTTTCATTTTTTAATTTCAAAAATAGCTTGTAAAGTGTACTGATTTTCCTGTAAGCAAGCTTATCTAAGCTGATTGTCCTAGCCAAGACATTAGTTTAGAATAGGTCAGAATTATACATTGTATCTATAAATTGAAGTTACTATTCAGACTTTTTCCTGGTGCTTTGATGTATTATATGGATTTTATCTGTGTTATGAAATTCAGCTTAGCCTCTGGACACATGTTCTGCCTACATCTTTTAAAGGCTGAATGCACAGCAAACAGTTCATGAAACAAATGGAAATTGTGCTGTCTGTACATGGAAAGAAAGCAATGTAAAAATTTGTGGTGGTGTTGGGATGTGGGTGGTTTTTTTGGTGGCAATTCTGTTTTTTCTACCCAGTGTTCTTTCAGTTCATGTGGGTAACGCTAGCAAAGCTAGCAGCACGTCCAATCATACCCTCAAAATTAGTCTTCCTCTTCCCTGATTTTTGTAGTGGTCACAACTGTAAAAAAATAGACTTCCTAGTTCTGTATGTAGGTACAAGTATTTTATGCTCTGCGTTTTTATTTGTGAAACTTTATATGGAGTGAGTGATGATTAATATTCAGGTGAACAGGAAAAGCTAAAAAGACGCTACTGATTTGAAATATCTGTATGCTTATGAGATGTTCTGCTCTGATTTTCATCCATTTTTTTGACATTTTCTAGATACATGTCTGTTTTTACTGTTGATTTGTTAAAGCAACACTTAAACCTTAACAGTTCATGTTGAATTGTTGAATCTAATGCCATCAGTTTCTGTTTCAAGTGTTGTAGGTTAAAAACATGGTATATTTACAGAAAAACTAATATGTCTAACTTGGCATACATCTTTTAATAATTTTATCTTTTATATAGCATCTATATGTTTTTTTCGTGTTTAGTTCACAGCAAAAGGTGAAAAACTCAGACTAAAAGTACATATTGTTTCTTAAATACTCACGTTTTTGAGGGTACTGTCACAATTGGAACACTGTCTTCATAATTTTCAGTTGCAGGGTTGATCCACTAGATTGCAGTTTTGTGTTTGTCAAGTACAAAATTTGTGCAGTGTGCAGAAGGAGCAGGTTTTCTGATTTAATCAAGACCCTGACATTGTAAAAATTGGAGAGAATTGTGCAAGAAAATTGTATTTTTGTTAAAACTAACATGGGCATCATCTGAAGAATTTCTTCAGTCCTACTTAAAATGAAAGGCCCTCATCCTATAATTATTTTTAGCGGAATGAAGGCATCAACAGGATTTTTGTAAAGAGATCAGTGTCTATTAGAATCAGGCAAATTAACTGTTGTCCCTGAAAAGAGTTCTTAATGAAAAAATATTCCTCTTCCGCTTATTTGCTTATGTAGGATCTCTCTGAATAACTGAATATTATCAGAACATAGTGAATAATATTGAAAAGAGATTGCTTGCATACTTCTCATCTGCTGATTTTAATCTGACTTTTAACAATGAATGGAAATTTACACTAAGACATTTCCAAGTGCATTTACACTAGGGAAAAAAGAAAGAAATATCTGCAAATTAGGTCTTCTGTAGATCAGAGAAGTGGTAAATTAAACCAGTTGAATTCCATAATGCAGTTATTTATTAAAGAACTTGAGGATAAGATTCCATATTCAAAAAAACATGATTTTTTTTCAATTTTTTATTTTCTGTGTACAGGTGTTGTTTTGTTGTTTAATAATAATAGATTTTTGTCTCTTCCTAAGTCATTCATTCATGCTGAGAATGTTGACATTTTCCTTAAGCACTCAGTACTTTATCTAATATAAAAATTAACTGATTTGCAAAGTATTTTTGGAGATGCTTGGGTGAAAGTCATGTGCAAGCACTATTTTTCTTGACATCTGCACTTATGAGTAACTGTCACTAGGTGGCAGTTTATGTATTAAGAGTTTTAGAGGCTTGTTCACTTCAATGTGCTGTGGAATTCAGATTTAAATGGTGAGACAAAGCCGTGCTACACTGAATACAGATTGGCAAGTTGGAATAACTGACGGAAGTATGGAGTGTGCAGGTTTAGACCATTAAGGAAATGAATGGGATTTGAGAGAGGAAAGTGAAAGGGGAATGAGTTTTCATTCAGTGAAAGTGTTCATTTTGTGTTTGTACTTCATCTCTAGGAAAGATTTGAAGCACTTTTCACAGTCTACGATAATCAAGTTACATTCCAGCTGTTTAAAAGCTTCAGAAGAGTAAGGATAAACTTCAGCAATCCAGAGGCAGCAGCAAGAGCACGGATAGAACTGCATGAAACAGACTTCAGCGGAAAAAAGCTGAAGCTGTACTTTGCACAGGTATGATGGAGCAGTGAGATGTTGTACATGCCTCCCTGTTTCTTCTTTATTCCACGTTTGCCTACAAGTTTCATTTGTGATAAGTATCTGAAGTTATCTTCAACCTCATTCCTCTACACTGAGGTGTATTCCTCTCACTCATTGGGAAATTCATGCTTTAGGGGGGTCAGTTTAGCTTTTCAGCTTGAGCTCAGAGAGTAGTAATTGTTATGGAACAGTTGCTGTGTAGTGATGCAAACCACCTTCCCCCATACATAAACAGAAATGTACTCAAAATCAGTGAGTCCAAAGATCTCTTTATAATAGGCACTTTACAAGCATATTCTTCTTTTTGGATTAGCAGCTTGGGTGTGTCATATCTACATTGTCAACACTTACGTAGGCCGATTTTGTAACTGCAACATTTCTCCAAGGTGTCATAGCAAGGGAGCTGACAAAAGCTGTACTAATTGTTAATGCTAGGCTGAGTGAAGCATTGCTAATGCAGAGAATGGGCATGCATTGTCAGGGAAGTAGATGCCGTGGATGAAAGTATTAACACGGTAGTGATTTAACAGCAAATCAAGATTTATTAGTTAGTAACAGGACTTGATCATTCAGTGGTTTAAAGATGTACAAAATAATTCAGAAAAATATGGTATCATTAAAATAGTGACTTGTCTACAGATTCTAAGATGACAAGATTGACACTGACTTACTATATGCTGTCTTAAATCAATACATATATACATGTGCATACACAAACATAAAACGTACAAACACACACAGTGACAAAAGTATTTGGATCCAGTAGAATGAAGTGTGTACACACACACACCAAGAAGCAGAGAAAGAGTGGATGAAAGAGAAGCTAGCTCAAAGTAAAATTTCCCTGCTCTCAGGTTTAGAGTGAGTACTCACAATGCCTTGGCATTACTCAACAGGAGATACTTAAAACTCGTGCAGGTTGACTTCGCCCTGGCTTTCCCCTCAGCTCTGACAGCAGATGACACCTTGAGGTTTTTGATACCTGAGAGGTGTCCCAGCTCAGGGGAGATGCTGGTCACAGGCCCGATCCGGGAGAGCTCAAAGGGTCTCACTTGGGGTCGCAGTGCAGTTTAGAGGGTCCAAGATAATTGACTTTAGTCAGGTACTTTTCGCTCAGGCCCAGCTCAATCAATGAAGTATCCTGGTATCTTCCAGCAGTTGCACAAGAACTTGATGAATGTTCAACTCTGTTATTGTTCTCATTTGACCACATTCCAGGCACGGGTGTGCCAGGCTTGTAGGAGATGATGGACTGTTAGAACCATTTCCGAGCGATAGGGAGGGCAGGAGCCAGGCCCCTTAAAGGGGCATCTTCACTGCCATTAGCAGTCCTTCTCTCCCCAGGCTGGTGTATAGCCTGGGGGAGGTGGGTGGAATCACACTTAGCACCAAGTGGCCCAGAAAGGAGGGGGGGGGGGGGCAGGGCGGGGAGGAGGGGTGGATGGGTGAGAATTGCACCACCACAGTAGACTAAATAAAAAGAGAATTTATATTTGTCACCTTGTTCTGTATTTCCTGGCTTTTGTCTTGAGGTACAGGTATCCAGTGAAATAGGTGACAAGTCCTACCTCCTTCCTCCACAACCTGTTAAACAGTTCCTGATCTCACCACCTGCATCTCCACCAGTTGGGTGGAAACAGAGTGAAGATGCAACTCCCCTGATAAATTATGACTTGCTTTGTGCTGTCTCCAAGTTGGGACCAGGTAGTAATATGTACCTACTTTTATTGTGTTATTTAACTTCAAAAATAGTCATTGAGGGAATTTACTTGTATTTCTTTCTGTGAGAAGAAACTGAGTCTCTCTTATGTGATGGTTCTTACTTGAATAAAATGATCCATCACTTTTTTTACTTAATCCATTAATTGACTGAAAGTATAGGACAGAACTGGCCTGTGTGGTACCAGCTCCATCACATCCAATTACTGAATTTTGTCATAGTCTCAGTATCAATTAACAAACGAGAAGAGGAATGAAAGGCTCAGTCTCTTGCAGGTGGACAGCTCCAGTCTGTTATTCAGTAAGGATGCCAATATGTACTTTTTGTGTTTAATTGTCAGACTTACTTATGAGCCTTCCTAGGAAGCATGCTGTTTGCTGTCTGTGAAAAACAGGGAAGTGGGAGGCTTAATGTTTTCAAATATTTTTGTAGCTTTTAATTTACAAATGTCATATAAATATACAGCATAAATGATGTCACTTAAACTTGTATGCTGGTTGTATTCTGATGTCTTCAGTGTTTCACAATAATTTTTTACATCCCTCCTTTAATTACCAATTAAAAATTAATTAAAAATCAGTAAATCCTTAAATATCAATTAAAAGATTGATTGTATTAGAACTACTGTATAACAGATACAGGGACTATTTTAAAGCATTTAACAGATCTGATAAAGTGTGGAAGTTGAGCAAATTAAAGAGGAGATGGGAATAAATGAATGTTTGGTTGTATTACTGCAGATAAGGAGTTTCTGAGATAAAGTGCTTTTCTTTGGGGATGTTCTTAGAATGATTTTTATTTGTTGCTCTTCAGGGGAAAAGTATGAGCTTCACGCAGGAACAGAATCAACTCCTAGTGTAGTTGTCCATGTCTGTGAAAGTGAGACAGAAGAGGAAGATGAAATAAAAAATCCCAAACAGAAGATCATGCAGACAAGGCGTCCAGAACCACCTGCAACAATACTGAATGAATCTAAGGCATTTGATTGTACGCTGGAGGTAGGGGGTACTATGCACTGTTAAATTGTGTGATGCTCAAGATGGTATCAAAAATCAGACACTTAATGAGTACGTGTGTTGATGTCTGTACTGCTGCTATATGTTATGTATAGCGACAACAGATTTTACTTGTAGTTGTCTCTCATGTTCAAGATTCTGGATGCCAATGCTCTGAAAAGCACTTTAATTTTAGGGACTAGTCCCCCAAGTGTAGCAAATCCACCTGACTTGAAATAGTGAAAAATAGGAAGTCTGGTTGTGGTTTTGTTTTGGTTTGATCTTTTTTTTAAGATGTTACCCTTTCCTTTATATTGTACAGTGTGATGTACCGAGTGCTGAAATAATATCTTTCTTACTGTCACGATTGGATTTGAGAAGGTTTGTTGTATAGCAATTAAAAGCCGACCTGTACTGGTACAACAGCTTCCAGTTAATATAGCGTTAAATGCAAGTGAAACGTACTCTTTATGCTAAAATTCCTCCCAGCTAGTAATCTTCTGAGGTGAAGATTAATCTTTGCTTTTCTCAGAAATGCCAAGTATGTGTTTTTAATTTGACATGAGGCACAAATACACGTATGGAACTAAATTCAAGTAGTTTTGCTAACTACACAAAGACTAGAGGAGGAAGAACCACAGACGGCTGAGCAGACAGACTCCGAGTCTGTCGCGAACGCTGCTGCTGCTGTGTGTGACAGTACACGGATAGGTACGATGGTTTGCACTGACATGTAGTGAGGAGAGAATTACAATGTGTAAAGTAAAATATGGATTCAGCTATTGAATGTGTTGTCTCTGATCCTCTCTGAAAATGTGGTAACGTTTGTTCCTCTGTAGTCCTAGCAATGGCCTCCATTTAAAAATAAATTCAGTGACTGTTACGTTATGACTAAGTTATGTTAGGAGATAAAACATCTAGGGTTAATTTTTGACTTGTGATCCTAAACTTCTCCAGTCTGTTTCATATTTTTAAGACACTCAGTTGCCTGGCTTAGCCAGTTTTTATGCAGATTCAGCCCTTGTTTGCTGTTTTTCATCAAGACTTTTTCTGTGTGGCATCCGGTCTGTCTGATAGAGCATCTGCTACTTTTGAGACCAGGATGCATCTTTCAAAATACAGATCTTTAATTTTGTGATCTTGTGTTAATTGTTTTAGTAGAAGGAAAATATGCCTCGGTATAATGACACATGCTCCTATGCTTTTATGCTATTTTATAACCAACTTTTTTTAGTCTAGACAGATTCTTCTTTTTTCTATTTAAAGGAATAAAATTATTTGTGAACAAACCAGGCTGCTGATGTTCATATATATGAATCATTCAGACATTGGCCTTTTTCAAATTCATTTTAGTGTGTTTCAGTTCTACATGATGTGCTTACTTAATTTTCTAAAGTGTTTTCACTTGATTGACAGCAGAGAGAAAAAAGTAATGGTCATGAATTTGCATGGGCATGATAGTTTTCGACTCCATATTGTGCCAGCTCAAGATCCCTTCCTGCCACCAGCTTCAACTTGCAAAATGGGATCCTGCAGGCAGGTCCTTGTTCCAGAGGCAGGAGTAGTATGTATTACAACGGTAGGAAAATGGGTTTTGCTCATCTTGCCTCCACAGGCGTGATATTTATGTATCTCTTCAGGTATTAAAATCACTCAAAGTCCGACTTCTCTGTCTCACTGTTCCATGTTATTTAACAAAAAAAAAAAAAAAAAAGCCAACAAAAACTTGTGTTGTTCATCAGGCTTGTGTATTTTTAAAATTCCACAAGTCCATTTTGAATTTTCTGTGGTGTTTATATTTTGTTAATTGTTTGATTTCTACCCCATTGTAGAAGTTGCTGTAAGTAGGAATAAGTGGAAAACCTTCAGAAACAGTTTTATAAGGCAAATCAAGCAAGTAATGATGTCAATGTATTTTGTGTAAAATGTATAACAACTTGCATTCCAACATCTTTCATTGTGTAAAGACACTTAAAATAAAAACAATGCAGTGCCATTCACATGTGGTTTTTTAACTGTATTCCATATCAGACCGAGTTTGATACATAAGTTTTCTAATGGGATTGTATGCTTGTGCAGTTGAGTGAACAGTCAAGATAGTTTATGGTTTTCCATAAAATAGTCCTGAAGAAGTTGGGGATTTCAACAGAAAAATCTTGGGAATTTCTGGGATAAAGGAGGGACTATGAGGGTTTTCATGGTAGTTTTGGGGTCTGTCACAAAGGAGTTCCATTGGATGTTTACCTCACATGAATTTTGAGTGGGAGTTTCACACCTGCTTAGTCTGGTGTGGGAGAGAATGTCCGGTTTGGGTTGCAGTATTGAGCTCTGTAAAGTTTTTATTGTAATAAAGATAAATAATTACTTGTTTTCAAAAATCTCCGAAGGCCCATTTCCACAGGAAGGAAAAGGTCAGACTTTATATAAAATGTACATGCATTGATCAACAAAATTGTAAAACATCAGCTTGTTGCACTGCTTGTGCTTTTGCCAGCAGGTTCTCTTTCACAGATGATGCAAATTTCAGCAGTTTTGTGTGTTAGCCAGAAGAGGGAGGCTGCGTGCCCTTCTAACACACATGGGCGCAATATAACTGAATTTTACTCAAAATGCCAGAAAATCACTTTCCTTGTCTGGATGTGAAGCTGTGCCTTCTTTCCGTGACAGCACCGAGGGGCCCTGTTCTGCAAATATAACAGGAGACTTTGTCAGCACAACGTGTCTGCCAGTTGGTGTGGAAGGCCGGGGTCCGGGGGGGCTGTAGGGAATTTTGGGTGGCTGGCTCCTTGCAAGCACTGACATGGGTGTGCAAGGAGGGGGCAAAGCAGAGGCTTTACAGAGAGGAAACTTGAATTTAGCCATTGATCGATACCAGAGGAGTTTCTACTTGACTTTTACTCTGTCTGTAATCTCTAGGGTGACAGAGCCTTCCTTGTAAAATGAATGAAATTCAAGTTTGCTTTATTTACTCTGTGTGATGATTCAGTAATGACCATTAGAACCTGTTTCTCTTAATCACTGATCAGCTATTAACCGAAGTGCTGGTTTCAGAAGTAGGCTTGCACAGAGACACCAACTCGGCCCTTTCTGAGCTTGCACTTTGTATAAATAAATATCCCAAATTCCTTTCAAGCATTCTTCTAGAGAAGCAGCTGAAAAAATGTATGGTCTCTTCTTTGGCCAGTCTGCTTGTGTATTCTGGAGAAGTTGTTGCTGGGGGTTACTTTGTTTTTATAATAACTAAGAATGGGCCCTATTTTTGCAATCCTGTGATTACTGCTTCTCATTTTATTTCTACTTTGTTACTGAAATCCTTCCCCCCTGAAAGACCTCATGCATAAAATGTCTCTTGCTTAATTTATTCCCTGAAAGATTATATTTCTATTTTTGCCTGGTTTTGGATTACTGATTTTTTTATTTTTTTTTTAGCCCAGAATAGAAGATTGTCTTATGAATTTTACACTTACCGGGTTCTGTTTACTTGCTCTGCTTAATCTGTAACACTTGCCAGGAGGAGTTCATGGCTCAGTGTGCTTTTAATGTGGAAAGAGACCACAGTCAAACCTCATTCCCTTGGAGAAAAATGCAGAAATATTTCCTTTACTAAACCAAACAGGAGGCGCACACCTGGCTGGATCTGTGAGTCTTTGTTCCTGTGTGGGCTTGCACGGCACCTGCAGTACACCGCTCCGGGACCACTCCGTTCTGCAGACGTGAAGGGCAGCCCGAGGTGCGGAGAGACGGAGCTGGAGGGTGAGGCTGAGGTCAGTGGGAAGGGAGGGCTGTGTGCTTAAGCAGCTGTTTACCTGTGTTCTGAGCAAGGTGAAACACTTTTTCTCCTGTAGCTATTGACCGAGCTGAAATCTGAGTGAGCGTGACTTGGGGGTTGTCTCCTACCATCAGCCGTACAGCTCGAGGAAGGCTTGCATGATGTCTGTTGGAATGTCTCCGTGCCCTTCCCCTGGAGATCAGGGCTAGAGACGTGTCAGGATCGTGGGATCCACCTTAATGGGGAGTCAGGTGGTATCTTGTGCTTTGGTTGTTGTTTATGTATTTTATCTTTAAGTTGCATTCGTGCTAAGTCACACTGGAAAACACCCAGTGCTTTAAATATTAACTAATGTGTTAAAATCCTCTTCTGAACAAGGTCCCTTGCATTTTAACATGTTGGCATGTTCAAGCTTGTAGAAGGGAATGTTTGATTTCCTTGGTGAAGCAAACGTATTCCAACTATAGTATCAGCGGAAACCCAGATGTCAGCAGTACTAGGGTGAGGCAGTGGGAAGGATACTTACGGCAATCTGTTGTGTTGCTGTGTTACGTAAAATATAAAAATAACAAACTCTGTATCCTTGCTGACTCTATAGCCAATGACCGTGTTCCTGTTTGAATTACACGGTGCAGCAACAGGGATTAGGGAGGCCAACCAGGCTTAGATGTGCTCTTATGCTGTGGCAAGCCACTTCAGCTCTGCAGTTCAGTTCCATCCCTTGCAGGTATGTTTTGTAATTTTTTTTATTTTTTGTAACTGTGGGTAAGTGTACAGTGGTGAGGTCTTGATTTCATAATACAGTTCTAGACTTAATGAATTTCTAGCTGGTTATGATATCCGTAGTAATATGTTTGTTCTCTTTTTTTTCTTAATAAGACAGTTCCAGTATATTCGCTCTGCTCTCTACCCTTCTAATTGCAGGCAAACTGCAAATTTAATCTGTGGTGCTGTGAACTGGCCTTATGATCCAGGACGAGTACAAAACCTACTTGGAAGTGTAAGCTGGATGTATAAATTCAGTGAGACTTAACACATTATGAGGTTATGTCACTTCCTTATGCTTTTTGTAAGGCTGCAGCGTGGGCCTGTAGTTTCTAATTAAGAGTTACGGCCTTTGGCATTCACTGACTTCATTAGGATTGCTCTGAGCATCCCGATAGCTCGTTTGGTTCTCCACTAACACTGCTAACAGGATTGGTGGCTGATGACCTATAAACCAAATAATTGAGGTAGAAAGCAGAGCTTGATACATACAATGTATAAACCTTGTGTATGGCTACAGCTAATAGTACCAGGGCTATAAATTTAGGATCTGGTGAGGGACTTCTTACCAAGCAAGCACTTGGGAAAGTCCCACCCTCCCTCTCTTGTGCCACATAAGCTTTTAGAGAATACACTTTTTAGAGTTGCTTTTATTGAGCTTTTACTTGGTTTCATTGTAGATGTTCACAGCCCTTCTCAAGCATTGTAGTGGAGATGGTACTTGATTTATTAAGGTGGGGTTTTTTATAGTTGAAAGGGTACTTAGCACATTGTGATGCCTGGAAGCAATTACACTGGGCTGCTTCTAGTTTGTTTTGCTGTGTGTCATTTCATTCCAGTGGGATCCTGTATGTTTATTTCCTAATATAGATGATTTTTTATACAGAAACTCAGGGTGTTTTACTTGAAAGGAGAGGATGTAATTGTCCTTCCTTGGATACCTGCCACAAAGGAAACATACTTGTTTAGAACAAAGCAGTGAGAATCGGGAGATCTGAATTCTGCTTCAAACTCTGCTTTGGATTTTTGTAAGGAAGGAGCATCATCTGTCTTCTGCTGCAGCTAATGGTCCTGCAGGCTTGGTACTATTTTTCCCCAATATTTGAAGGGAATCGCACTGCCTCCTATGTTTTCTCCTCACCAGAGAGAGAGTGCTCTGCATTAATGAGGGTGCTGGCCCTGGACGGAGTTGGAGTTTCTCCAGACCTCCTCCTGCTTTAGGGAGATTCTTCTCTAGCCTGTGTAGGTGGAAAGAGTTGTTACTTTCTGTGCATTTGCATTTGTCCTGCGGTCACTGTCAAGTTTGTGGTGTTTGCCACGCAGAGTACGGTGTCAGCCATGAATCTATTACAGTGCTGGTGCTCGGAATCGCTCACTGGCTCATTTCATCCCTTCTGTGTTTGACACCCCATCGCACTTAAATGCAATTGTTGTATTGTCATGATGACTCTGATGTCAGAGGTGGCCAACAGCTCAGCTGAGCAAAAGTTATGCTAAATACCCTCTTTGTGTTTACTTCCATGAAAAACTACTTTGATCTCCAGAACAGTAAGATCGAGAAGCTTTTGTGCTGCAAAATGTTACGCCAGTTCCATAAGCACAGAAGCCGAGCTACGCACGGTCTCTGAGCTTTCTCCTTTTCTGTCTAAACTGTGAGTCCTTCTTTCCATCTATGGAAGTATCAATAACAGATCAAACAGAGCAAAGAAAATGAAAAAGAGGCCTGAAGCCCAGTGCTGGTAAACAATCCCAGATTCTCCCACAAATGCTATTGTATCAAGCTTTGACTGAGCTAATATAAAATATTGTATGCAGTGAAAGCAAAACTTTTGCAACCATTGAACCTTCAAAATGTGCTCCTATGACCCAGTGTCAGTGATCAGCCTAGCAGTGCTTAGTACTAGCATCATGCTTATGCAAGCATTAGCTGGTCTTCCAGTAAGGATGTAGAGACATCCAGGCTCTGGACCTTGTTGGGAAGAAACTCCTGAATGCACATCGTGCAGCTTCGTAATTTTACCAGGCTGCTGAAGGTGACCTCACTTTCTTCTTGGTGGTGGCAACAAAGGCCACAAAGCCCCCTTGAAGGAATGCAGACATGGCCAACAGGCTGCCCTGGGAATAGTTGACTCTCAAGACAAGGGGACCTAAGTGTGTGTGGATATCTTCAAAATTTCAGTCCCTTTCCAAAACTTACCTTGTGAATTGAATCTCAGCTTTATCAAGGCAGACCAAAAGTCCCAGAGGAGCAAGAGTAGGTAGGAGCCCATGCTTCTGGGTAAACCCAGCTGCTGAGGCCTGGCAGCTTTGTAAGGGTGTGCCAAGCTGTGTGTATTTCTATAAGCTCATAAATGCTCTGAAAGTTTTTATTGCAAAGAGATGGCACTGAGCCTTACCTTGCCAAGCAGAGTTTGTGCAAGGCTGGGGATCTGCCAAGCAGTGCAGACTCCAGTGCTTAGTTTTGTCTGGGATCCAGTTGTGCCTTGCACCAGATCCAGATGTAGGAGATTTGCTCTGGTTTCGTCCTGGAAGAAGGAACAGGGGATCTGGAGAACAATTTACAATGTACTACTTCGGTTTTTATAACAATTCAGAAAAACAACAGGTAAGGAGTTTGGTGAAAATACAGAACTTCTTCCTCTTTCCACATTAATGTGGGCTGCCTGACAGTCATCGTGGCTGGTGTCTCCTTGCTTGTCTGATTTAAATTGAGTTAGGATTATTATTATTAATAATAATTAACTTAAATGTAACTTTTCGTACCCCTTCCATGTTATGAGTGCGCACTGTTGAAAGAAGCCCCTTCTACTCCACAGAGATACAACCCAGGGAAAGTATGCAGCTGGAATACCATCCCTGTTCCCAGAAGAGAGCTTCATGTTCTTTCTTGTTTATGCAGAATGAGGCAGTACTTGTAAAGAAACCAATCAAACTAAAATTATTCCCTTGAAAAGACAAATGGTGAGTAATCCTTACTGAGATTTCAATCTGTGCTTTTAAGGAGGTGTGATATCTGCACAGGGTTTTAGTGTGATTGAGGCAAAAGGATTTAGCTGGAAGTGACTAATGTGGGTCTTTGTAGGTATAGAAAAATAAAGTTTGCTAAATAATTGGATCCTGAAATTCTTAATTCTTACACTCTGGTGAGAAAGCCTCTGTGGTTTTGTTCTGTGGGGTTCAGTGTAGAAACCAGTCCATCGTGAACACCGAACTGAAGCAAGGCTTGTGTTGGGAAAACACATGTTTCTTTAGGAGATAAGTATCTGTTTACTGCAATAGTATGTGCTATTTTTTGTTCTTTACTATCTTCACTTGGACTTGAGCACCAATTTATAAAATGGAGCGTGTGGCTGTTGCTTTCTTTGGTGCAAGCACTGAGGTGACTGACACCAAAGGCAAGTTTAGGTTTACGAACGCAAGTTTAGATTTGTATATGACATCTTTATCAGTGGCTCCCAAAGTGCTTTACATGTGAAACCTGTGTACCTGATGAGTATTTGTATTCCTCCAGAGCTAGATCAAGTGGGCTGTCGGATCTGGTGGATGTGTTTGCTCCCCTTTCTCTGCCTCCTCCAGCCAGCTTGAATAAGCAGATCAGGGAAAACAGACACATTTATGGGTGTGATGTTCTGCTCTGGCTCCCGGTTCAGAGCAACAAGGAACCAAAGACGTTATGAAGCCAGAACTGCAGAGACCCAAAAGCCTGCCTGGTTCTGGTCTGTCACGTTCTGGTAGTACGTGTGAACCCAATGTTCAGAGCATCCCTGTGATGAGATAGTTTCAATTTCCATCTTTTATTTCACCGAGTGCAAAAATACTTGGTGAATTGAGTGGAATTAATGGTATCTCCCATTTTCGGTGTGTTATTTTGTACTGAAAAAGAGTGTGTAATGCCAAGTGCTGCATCAAGTTACTAACGCTCCTTGTCTGGGCCGAAAGCACAGCCCCAAGCCCGAGCAAGATAAGGGGATTTTGTACATTTGCAGTGAGATGTAGCGTCAGGTATCGTGTTTCTTTGCCTAACTGAGTTGCTGTACATAAGTGAGGGAAACTATAAATGCTTTTATAACTGGGTCTTGGCGGGCAGAGAGTGTCCTGGCAGGAAAGCTGCCTGGCTCCAGCCGGGTATGAGCCATCTCCCATCTTGTGCTCCCTGCTGTGGTGGTGGTTGCTTTGGAATGCTGCGTCATGACCCCTTTGCTCCCATGGGATCTGTCAGGGTTACTCCACCATTGCCTTGTGAGTGACTCAAAATGGAGTATTTCTCACACAGGAAAAGCTGAGAGTTGCAAGGTAAGGAAGCACCTAATATTTAATCCCAAGCCTGGGGTGGTGACTTGAGGTTGCTGTCTTTTTGTGAGTCGCAGTGGTTAGTGCTTTTGCTAAAGCAGCACCTTTAAGATTGTGTAAGAATCTTACTTTTTTTTTAAGCTTTTTTTTCTTACCTTCATGTCTGCAGAGGAAAAACTGTGATTTAAACACTAGAAAGAAATAACCCTGTGAATATTGATAGTTATGCCAAATGTTGTGATTTTTAAATGAGCTCTTGATTTTTGGAGCCAGCTCCTGATTTCTCTCTTCTGTTTGCTTATCTAACCCCAGCTGTGAGCTGGAGAAGTTCTCGTCCTCCCTTTGAAGGCTTAATTTAAAGGCAGACAAGGAAGGTACCTGCTTGCCAGCTTCTGTCAGGAGTAGGTTCTCCAGCTTTGAAAATATTTCAAGTGTGAGACAAAATCTTTTGCCCTCTAAATCTTTCTTTTCATCTTTCCCTCTGGCAGACCCAGCAATAACAAACCAATGCTCGTTCTCCAAGCCCTGCCTCTGTCCACCAGTGATTCATTAATGACCTTGTTTGCTTTAGCAATGCCTTATCAGTGAAATGCTCAGAAATGTGCCATGCTGGGGCTCTGCAGGGGCCGCGACACCCGGGCTCCGTGGCTGCAGACGCTCGTGCGTTCAGACCAGTTGGCACAAGTTTTGTCCTCCGGGCTACTGGAAGTGAATGGCACCTGTGTTTGGAGGGTGAGAAAGGTGAGGTTCAGGGTTGTGCTGGAGGAAGCTCAGTCCTGTGGAGCTGCAGGAGATGCTGCTGTGGAGGGATGTGGCTGAGAGCAGCTGTCGGAGCGTGCCCCAGGGGAGGCTGCAGGAGGGGGATGTTTGATGAGAAGCTGCCTGCTGTCATTGCCCAGCTTCGTCCACGGAGGTGTGTGTGGGACCTGCAGCAATCCTCCTCTCGCTCCAGCTGGCATGAACCAAGCATTTGAAACTCACCTTGCCAGGAGCCTCAGCTTTCCTAGAGCTGTCCCCAGAGAGAATCTGTAAACACTGTAGAAAATCTTGGATCTGTGCTCACATCACTGGTTGTCTCCTACCAGTTTCAAACTCAAGCACGACTGCAGGTCAAGGATGCCAGCCCAGACCCCCACCCTGGACTTTGTTGTCCACATGACACAGCAGAGACAGGCAGGAGCAGAAGTTTTGCTGGAGTGCTGTGTTACAACCCAGCAGCATGCTGAAATCCCTTCTGATGAATGCATTGGGAAACATTCAGATAAACCCATCTTGTTACACAACCCAGTGGTAGCTGATTAACTGTGGCTTGTAAAAGTCCTCAAAAGAAGTTAGGAAGTCATTATCCCACTGCACAACCTATGCCAGTTCAGACAGGGTCTGGTCTAAGGATGCACAGGTTTAAATAATCAAAAAAGCAATCATTTGTAGATCAATTTACAGTCAAACCTTCACTCTAGTGAAGTCAGTCATCGATGGAAGCTGGGTAGCCAGGAGATTTCCCAAGAAATCTGCTGCAAATGTTCATGGGCTGTTAGGAAGGCCCTGTTTCTGCCTTCCCGTACGGAGGCAGGGTTTTGTAATGGGCAGGTTTCAGCCATATGTTTCAGGTTGCTTTATCTTAGAGATTGGTGGTGGTAGTTCTAGCTGCAGATGGGGAAGCTGAGGTGCAGGATGGGGCAAAATGTCTTCTGCATGGCAGCTCAATAGTTGTAAACCATTAATTGAGCCCAGACCAAGGGCTGCAGACGTTTAATGTGGTTTCCTTGTTTCTGGTGGGAGCATCAGGCCCCAGGCAGCAGCAGTTCCGTTTTAGAAGTGTGATTTCCACGTGAAAAATGCAGACAGGGACTGTGGTCACTCACCACTTCTTCCCCACTCATTGGTGGGAAATGCAGAATAAAGCCAACTAAGTACAGGTTAAAGACAACGCTTCCTTTCCAGTTTGATCCTTTTGATTCTACTAGGGAGTAGACAGAACCACTTGTTCTGTCTTTGGGATGGATGTGTTTGGGAGTTTTCTCTGGAAGACCACTGGGTGTTGAAATGCCGCCGAATTTGGGCTGTTTCTCACAGCGTTGGGGGTTCTCCGTGGGAGCCCGGCAGAGCCTGAGCAGGTCCCGTCCGTCCCCACGAAACCCCTCAGCAATGGGGAACCGAAACCTCGCAGTACCACGAGCAGGAGGTGCACCACTCTTTCCAGAAGGGTTGCCCTCGGGTTTTTCGGGACGCATCGGCCACTCGTCCCGGTCCGTGGTTTCCCGCCTGCGATCGCCGAGCCGGGCTGCGCTGGGGCACCACGGTTTGTTTCTTCAGCTGCTCCATTTTAGCTTAGATCTGCCCGAGCCTTTTCTGCTGGCAAACCCCTTCTCCCCTTCCCTCCAGCCCCCTCCGGGGCTGCGGGCTGCAAGCGGGGTTCTGCCCGCCCCCCCCACCTTCCCCGGCCCGGGGAGGCGGCGCCGGGGGCCGGGCTGGGCGGCCCCGGGGGAACCACCTGCATCTGCCGGGCTGGGCCGGGCTCCCCGCCGGGACCGGCACCCCCCGGGCTCCCCGCCGGGACCGGCACCCCCCGGGCTCCCCGCCGGGACCGGCACCCCCCGGGCTCCCCGCCGGGACCGGCACCCCCCGGGCTCCCCGCCGGGACCGGCACCCCCCGGGCTCCCCGCCGGGACCGGCACCCCCCGGGCTCCCCGCCGGGACCGGCACCCCCCGGGCTCCCCGCCGGGACCGGCACCCCCCGGGCTCCCCGCCGGGACCGGCACCCCCCGGGCTCCCCGCCGGGACCGGCACCCCCCGGGCTCCCCGCCGGGACCGGCACCCCCCGGGCTCCCCGCCGGGACCGGCACCCCCCGGGCTCCCCGCCGGGACCGGCACCCCCCGGGCTCCCCGCCGGGACCGGCACCCCCCGGGCTCCCCGCCGGGACCGGCACCCCCCGGGCTCCCCGCCGGGACCGGCACCCCCCGGGCTCCCCGCCGGGACCGGCACCCCCCGGGCTCCCCGCCGGGACCGGCACCCCCCGGGCTCCCCGCCGGGACCGGCACCCCCCGGGCTCCCCGGGGCAGCAGCGGCAGCGCTGGGGTCCCCCGGCCGGGCTGGGGCCGGAGCGCGGAGCCCCGCGGGGGCGGGACCGGGGACCGGGGACCGGGACCGGGACGGCGGCAGCTCCGGGAGGAGCGAGGAGCGGGGTCCGCCTCTCCTCTGCGGGAAAGCCGGGCCCGGGGCTGAGCTCCTGAAGCCTGCAGCATCCTCCCGTGAGTACCGGGCGGGTAAAAGCTTCCGGAGGGTTGGGGTATGCATCTGTGTTTTGAACAGGTATAAATGTAATTTTGCTCCTCTAAAGCTCGAAGTTACTTTCTGCTGCCGGGGAAAGGGCTGTAAACGGTCGTTTCAGTGGGGTTACTCCGGGTTTGTGTATACCATAGTAAATGCCTCTACGTGCAGCAGAACTCTTTTATCAGTAACTCTAAACCAGAAGGAAATACAGAGCAGATGTCCTCGTACGATTTTCTGCTAAACTGCTGCTTTAGCAGTTGTTTCATTAATTGGAAACCTTTAAGGTACAGGGACTGGAACTGATCTGGCAAGTTGTTTCCTCCCCCGAGAGAAGTTTGCGCGTCTGTTGAATGATTATTCTCTCACTAGCAGTGTCCTTTCATCACTGTGGATACGCTGAATCTCTTGTTCTGACTTATTTAACCCCAGCACTATAAATAAGGTTTTGTTACTTTTCTTTTGGTTTTTTTTTTTTGTTTTTTTTTTTTTTTGTTTTTTTTTTTTTTGTTTTTTGTTTTTTGTTTTTTTTTTTTTAAATCTGCTGAGCGGCATGCTAGAAAGGGCTGGCAGACTAATATTTAACATGAAAAGAACTAGAAAGCTTGGAGCACTGTGTTACAGTTCACTGAGCGTCTCCAGCGCAGAACAAAACTGTACTGCTTTCATTATTTGGGAACATGCTGAAGTTGCTGACAGGTTTAAACTGTGATTTCTGGTTTTTCATGGTAATTAATGTGCTTAATGCCCCAGGAAGTCCTTGCTAAAGGAAGCATAGTATTTTGTAAACAAATTTCACTAATGTGATACATTGTGCTGGATGAAGTGGTTGGGCGGGAGGGTTTGATTTAGTGATTAGGCACCAGAAGACAAAGGCAATGCAGTAATCAGTGACTTCGTGGCCCCATAAGAAACATTGTCTTGCTGTGTGGACAGGGCTGTGGGTGCCAGGTTTAGACACAGAAGGAACAGGGTATAAGTATAAAGTATTGCACTGCCTATGTGTTTGTCTACTCCGTGTTCTTGGAAGAGGGGATGTGCCTCACTGATTCAACAAGTTTGCATATGCAGTACTTGAAGAAGTCTTGCAACTGCTTTCATCCTGCTTTTTGCAAAGTGAAAGGAGTTGCATTTCTACATCGCATACGGTATTCTCCCTATATATTTCAATACAGAAAAAAAAGAAGGATATGAAACTTGTAGAGGATCTTACAACAGCGTTGAGATTTGCATTTTTCTGGTAGATGAACAGCTTCAATTGCAGAAGGTCCAGTCCAGTAGCTGGGGAGCACATGCTGAGCTGCAGGCAGGGGACAACAGTCCTAAAACTCCAATCCACAACTGGCAGCAGACTTGGCTCCCTTGTTGGCTGTAATTCATGAAAGTTTCCTGTCCAGCCCTGCTCCTATCTGTCTGCTGCAACTGAAAGCGTGCCTTTTATTACTTACACTAAATTCCTCTTCTTACTTATGGCAATAAACAGTGAATCAGTCAGGATTTAGTGCACAAAGGAGCTGGAGATGCCTGTCAGTGATATGCCGAGCGCCTGCAGTGGTCTTGGATCAGCAGCTACCGTGCTCGCAGGGTAAATCCATCAGTGCTGAAGACCCTGCGGGGTGCTGGCGTCTGCCCAAAGCAGCCCCTGCTCCCCACGGAGGTGTCTCACGTGCCGGGTTCTCATGCCCTTGCGCCAGGCTGGGATCAGCGTCGCTGAAGAGCGGCTGTGTTGGGAGGGGGTTTGGTCGGGGGCCGGCGAGTGAGCCTTGACCTGGCCTATTGTTGGGCATGTGGGAGAAGAAAAAAAAAGTGGTGGGGATGACTGTGCTGCTTTTATTGAGAGTCACAGAAATCAGGAAATGCAGCCAGAACCTATAGTGTTCGTTAAGCCTCTTGGAGGGAGAGATGATATGAGGCATGAATGGAGATCACAGAGGAGGAAGGCAAGAAAAAAAGCTGCTGGGACGTCTGAGTCATCCAGTTTCCCACCGGCATACATAGCTTAATGTTTTTCACAACCACCTCCGTGGAGCAGCAAAGTTAAAACCTAATTCCAGGGGCTCTGGAGTCACTGTGCTTCCTCGCTCCAGGCCAGGTCCCAGTCAGGGATCCCCCTGCTCAGCTACGAGGTAGATGGGGCAGTTGCCTCAAGTGCCAAGCTGGGCGAGTGGGCAGAGGAAAAGGGCTCTGCCGTTATCGCATCCTCCCATTTGGATGGAGGCAGCCCCTTAGACCCAGCACACACCCAGATTCACCCCACGTAACATCAGCACTTAACCACTCGGCTGTGGGCTGGCTGAGAAGGTGCTTTTTGGTGAGATTTGCAGTGCTCGGGCTGAGGAGGGGAAACGAGCCCACGGATCATCCCAGCAGCACTGGGGGACTTGGGCTGCCCATCATCTGCTGTGCCGACCCAAAGTACCGTGGCCTTGCGTGCTATTTTGTGCTTCTGCTGGGGCAGAGTAGAAACCTAAATAATTAATTGGAAAGACAAAGTTTCCTAATTACTTATTAGTCTGTAATGGAAGCCTCAAAACTCTTAACCCAGCAAATGTATACGTCTTTAGAAAAGAAAAAACAAACACCTGGCTGCCAGCAAACAGGAGCTGATAAATGTGGTGAGCCATTCTCTGACATGAAAGGCAGCTCAGGGTGTGAACTCATGCCAGCCTGCTGCCCATCACAGTGTGAGTCACGGGTGTTTGCTCTGTCCCATGGGAATCTCAGTGTAAGGTAAATCCAGAAGTAGCTGTTGCCATCCCTCTGGCTCTGCTGGACATAGCGAGGAGTGCCTGAAGACACCTTTGGGATTGCCTTCCTCCTTGGATTTGTTGCTGGCATCTATGTGCCATTGGATAAGTGACTTGCCCACAGGCAACGTGGGCAACAGAGGGAAATGGCCAGGGAGCAGTGTGATGGTGTGGGAACTGGGAGAAGTGGTTTTCTAGTCTAGGAAGCCAGTCCTGGTTTGGGCAAATCATTCACAAATGATACTGGACTCCAGCCATGGTTTGGCTTGGCTGGGAAGGAAGATGGAGGACAGGCTACAGTTTTCAATGTATTTGGCTCATGTGTCTCCTTTTTTGGTTGTTATTGTCCTTATGAGTCTTAATTGCTCCAGGTAACCCCTTTTTCCTCCTCACAGCGGCTGACAGTACTTTAGCAGTTCTTTGTTTCATAAGGCAAGTTTCCCATATGTCTAGGCAAAGCACGAGACGTTTTTTCTGGGGTTCCCCTCTTCTCTTTGGGCTGTGCTCTTTATGAGAGGTCACTGATACCTGGGTGTATACAATATGCTTATACAAAAACATTCCGATGTCTAAAAAAATTACTCTTGTTCTTCATTGTCAGAACCACCACAGAAAGCTGCTTTGCTGCACACATGTAACTTGGCCACCCCTTTACAGGGAAGTGATGTGAGCTGGCCAGACGAGATAGAAAAACTCCCTGAACTCTGGGAAACTTTGGAATTGGATCTGATTCGAGATCTGCATGCCACAGCAGGAGCCCAGATCTGCCCTGTGCTACTGATGTTAATTAATTTCATGCTGTTCTCCAGCTGGATACGATGCTTTGACATTGGTTTTGTGGTTTCTATCAGTCCTTTTCCAGTAACACAAAATGGGACATTGAGTTCCTCTTCTTTGAATTGCCCATGAGAGCTGGGCTGTGTGACATCTGTCCTGCAGTGCTTTGCAGTGGCAAGTAAAAGACAACCAGGCAACGTGGCTGGGGGAGCTGGGTCCCCGGGAGGGGGGACTTGCTTCCCACTGCAGGCAGGGCACTGCCAGGGCTGGTGGTGGGATGCTGAGCTCTGAGCCCCTCTTGGGGGGGGGGGCGGAACTCTGAACTGCTCTGTGAGAATGTGTGAACACATTTCTTCCTTCCTGCTAGCCTTCACTCTGGGCTTTTTTAATGTCTCTGTCAGAGGGAAGGTAATTCAGCATGTTGATGAACTGCCTGACTGTCCTGCTCTCAGTCTCTGGCTCAGAGGAGGCTGTGTCAGACTCGATCTACTCAGCAAAGCAGCACATCACCGCCCCTTGCCCTGTTTTAAAAAGTGTGTTGAAATCTGCCTCTGCTGCCTTGTTTCCTGTAAAAGAGTGGCTGAGTGTGCAAAAAGGTGCTGCCTGGCTCAGCACCCGCCGGGTACAGTGGCTGCACTGTTCAGCTTGTTCCCAGGATTTCCAAACCCCACTCCAGCTCCTCTCGCCTGCCATTCCCTCTTGTCTCTGGGTTCTCCAGATTCCTGGTGGATGCATAAGGGCCTCCTGAGTGTTCCTGTTCTGCCCGGTCACCCTGGGACCGAGTGCCAAGCCTGGCTACAGATACCGAGCAGACACCTATAGCTCTGGAGCTACAGGGAGCATGCAGAGAGCACGCCTTGCACTGCAGAGCAGGAACACAGATTCAGACCAACCCAGTCTGAGCGAGATCCCAGAAATCAGGGGGATTGATCTGGAAGTGGTGGGACATTTTCTTGCTCTAATTGACTGTAGTTATATACGCTATTCAAAGCTGCATTTATTGAAAACTTTGGCCCTAAATGAAGCTGGTCTCTTCTGTGCTGGGATTCCTTTTCCATGCCACAATTCCTTGGGTTTTTTCTTTCTTCCTTTCTAATTGGGAACTATTTGGGATCTTCCATTTAGTATTGGACTTTCAGGCAGATGCCTGTTTCTGACTTTTTAAATAAAAGGGTTAATCCCCTGCTTTGGAGCATTTCTGGGTTGTGCCTGGAGTAAAGCAGCTGCCCTGATGGAAAGTCCAGGTGAGAGAGGATTTCTACAACAGTGTAATCTCCTGAACTGCTCCAGCTTTTCAGTAAATGGCAGATCCAGCACGGTACAGAGCCTGGTGATCATTTCTGCAAAAACACTGCTGAATCTACAACGTTGGGGTTTTTTGTTGTGGGTTTTTTTTTTTTTTTTTTTGTTTGGGGTTTTTTGTTTGTTTGTTTTGTTTTGTTTTTTAAAAACAAAAC